ATATATATATATATATATATATATAGGTAAATTTATTTTTTAAACCTTCTATGAGGGGAATATTAAATGCATTTGTTTAATGCACTTTCACTTTTATAGGTGACATCGTAGTGTGTACATTCGAAGCATACTGCAGGGACTGCGACTACTGTATGAGCCCAAAAACAAATGTGTGCCGAAAACAGCCAGTGAGTTTGATTTTTTTTTATCTTTGTCTACTATGTTGTAACCAAAAACTGTTTTTTTTTTTATTCTCTTACTTAGAGTCGAATACACTCTGTAATGAAAATATTGGTGAATAAAAAAATAATGCGTATTAGTTATTATATAAAGTGTTCCTTAATTAATTTTGGTCCCAGATTTCACCATAAAATTTTTCGATTTGAATTTGCTTATCTTTCAACATAATAAAGCAACAGCTCTTCAAAAAAGAACTATTAGTTCGAAAAATCTATTAAATGAAAACCGGTACGTCATAAAAATCAGAACTTCGGAAACTAGAAGTTATTTTTCACGAAGCATCAAAATTAGCAACAAATTTCGTTCGCAGATCGTGATGTCAACTTTATTTTCCAAAAAAAAAAAAAAATATTATCAAAATAACCACCTTTTGCACTAACAAAGTTGTGGAATTTAAAAACTTGATTAATAGACTCGCGTGCAAATAAATATACTGGAATGGTCAGACATCCAGCAGAAGGCAGTTATTTTCAGCCATCTATTGTCCTCAATTTCAAACTTTTATGAGAATAAAAACTGGTTTGCTAAACAGATCCCTGAAAACAGTACATCTATTTTTATTTTCTTCCGTTTTTCTTTAATCGATTTTTTATATCGTTGGTTATTTTTTTGCCTTCCTGCAACTAAAAGTTAACAGTTTTATTAATTTTCCAATGAATACTCTTTTTTACTTCAATTTATTTATGCTAATTTGATTTAAAAAGTTATTTATGTTGTATTTATTAACAGAGAAACAATCTGCAAATGGATGGTACCTCTCGTATTGCAGCCAAAGGGAAGAAATGCAGTCAAATGGGTTCCTTAGGATTATTTTCTGAATATATCGTAACATCTCAATTTAATGTTACAAAAGTACGTTTCATCATAGCTTATAATCTAATTAATACTATTTATTTTCTCTTTTTTAAAATAATTTAACGTTACGCAACGTACTCAAAACAGGATACCTTATATATAATAACTTATATCAACCATATTTTGTATATATGTATATGCATGAAGATGAAATACAAAAAATAATTACCTCATACCAGAGCGAAGTCATGAACATGAAATAATGTCAGTATGCCGTGTATATCAGTGCTTCCACTTTAATTTATTTTTAATATATTTCCTTTTCTTAGTTTAGTGCTTCACGAGGTGGTTTTTTAGTTTGCCTTTAAGCTTGTTATTTCATAATAAAAATGTAAACAATAACAATCTCGAGCTCAATACCTGCTTTGGTTCCTGTTAGAAAGTTTGCAACTGCTTACTACAGCTTATTCTGGGAGACGATATTTTCAGACGGATAATTTTGTTTTCAATAAAAGAAATAAACTAGATAATTTCTGAGCTCAAATCTGCCGTATTTCATGAGATATTAATGTTATTAAGTAATTCTGGTGAGCTGGAGGTGAAAATCTGTTTTAGTTATTTATAGATATATTGTTAAAAAAGGTGACATGGTTGCTAGATTTTGAATAACTCGTTTTGAGTAACTCCTGATTTGGCCTCTTTCCATTTGTTTATTACTGTTTGTTCTTGTTGCAAGCTGTGTACCATCTTACGCTAGTGTTAGCACCTTTAGCATTGTGAGCGCAAGTATTGTTAGCATTATAAAAACAAATAATAAGTAATCAAATACCACGTTTGCAAGATTCTCAAAACACAATGATCACGTTGTGAGCCAACTAGCTTTAAAATACACCGGAAACAGTAACCCGGAAGTATAGGCGGTATGGAGCTTGCAGCGTCCCCTAGTGTAGAAAACACCATCCATAATTCGCTACTTTCTGGATGATTCTACTGTAGACTTCATAACTGCAAACTTCTACTATAGACTGGATAGCTCTACTGTAGATTAAACCATTATTTGTCTCTCCACGTTGTTCTTTTTCAGCTTCAAAACAATAGGTGTTGAGACAAAAAAAAAATTCCATTTTTGTATTTGTATTTTTTTATATGCTTATGAGTTTTGTTGTTTCATTATTGCCATACTTTTAATAATGATTTTGAGAGATATAAAGAGAAATATTTCGATAATAAAGCACCGATATTAAAATTAGTGGATTTTCCCCTCAATTTTGAAACTTTTATAACTTGTGCTGCAGGTGAACCCTAAAGCCAACCCCAACACCCTTTGTCTAGCTGGCTGTTGTATTCCTACTGGTTATGGAGCTGCAATGAATGCTGGGAAAGTTACACCAGGATCAACTTGTGCCGTTTGGGGTCTTGGAGGAGTCGGTATGTGTGTCATCATGGGATGCCGAGACAGTGGAGCATCTAAGATTATTGGCATTGATCCCAATGCTAAAAAGTTTGAACTAGGTACGTTATGAAAAGCATCTGTTATTAAAAATTAACACATCAAGATTTACAGAAAATTAGCTGTTAGAAAAATGTATTAAGACGTAAGACAGTTAATCAATATCATATTTGAAGCCACCAAATGCTTATTTTGGTCACCCTACAATTTATGAACAAAGCTCAAAAAGTAATAGATCACTTAGATAAAGCATTAAAATATACTCGCTTTAGTGTAATACATTTTAAATAGAAATTAACCAGTTTTTAAGGAACAATAGGGAAAAAAATCTGAAATATCATTTGTGGGGTGAGTTGTTACAGACAATGTCAACTTTCATCTATGAAAAGGTACCCTTGGCGTGTTTATATCGAAGTGAGAGAGTATGTCAAGGGAAGCATGCTCACATCACGTCCGGGTCACCAATGCGGGGTGAGTTGTTACAGACAATGTCAACCTTCATCTATGAAGAGGTACCGCAACATAGCATCGTGTTAACATGTCTTATATACCAGTGAATTGGAATCATGTTTTTGTAGTGGTAGATACACTACACCACTCATAGTTAGTATAAGGGGGTTCGGTACTTTTCGGTTAGACGGGCGCAAGCAAAAAGTTGCCGGAAAATGTAAATCGCAACGACTTTTTATTTTAATTATTTTTAGAACAAATAATAATAAAATGAAATAAAAATAATTAAGTAAAGTAAAAAGAAATTAAAAATAAAATTAGCTAAATTTTTTTTTTTTTGCAACCTGCGAAAAGTATCACGGATTCTAAAACCATGATCTGCATGCTACTAGTGACATTTTACGTTATAACCAACAGCTAAATAACAAAAGGAAAAAAAACAAGTAAACCGCTAACTTACTCCTTCCACAACGGAGGCGGCTTCTTAGTTCAAAAAACTTTAAATCCTACCTGTGAATAGTTTGCAATCGAAGAACTTTACTCATATTTTATTGGATCTTCGATTTATCCTTTCAACCCGAAGAAAAGATAGACTTATGGATATTATAAAAAATATATTTTTTAATAAATCTTCGATTCAAGGTTTAATTTTTTTTATTTATGAAAGTAAATTAAATACACATCACAACATGTTAAAGATATTCTTTTCAATTAATTAAAAGAAATAATTAAGATATTCGTGATCTGAAATGAATAGAGAAAACGTTTTGAAATATGAATATCTCCCATTTCTTGATAATTGATTTTGTTGTGCCACATAAAATTTTTATTCGTCTAGAAATATGAAAGTAATTTTTTCATCTGTTAAGAGTTATCTCTAACTGATTATACTTATTGCAGCCAAACAGTTTGGTGCAACTGATTTTTTGAACCCTAAGGAAGTTAAAAGTGTGCCTGAAACTTTGGCTCAAATGTGCAAAGATGGCGTTGACTATTGTTTTGTCTCGGTTGGAATTCTTTCAGCTATGGTAAGAATTCATAACACATTGGCTAAACTTAGTTTTTGTTCATTTGAATAGTTAAAAAGTTATTCCACGTGTTTCATCAAGCATTTGAGAAAAAATAAAAATATAAAATTAGATTATAGTTCGATATATAGTAGCAACGATAAAACTGTTTTCTATCGAAAATCAGCTCAAGAGAAAAAAAAAATGGTATACCTACAAGTGACGTAGTGAGGGTTTCTCGATTCTGTTTAGTTGTTGAAACGTGGCATTTGTTTAGATTAACAATTGTTCTTTCCTTTATATTTCGAGTATACGAATCCCGTCAAATATCAATTCCATTGACACATTCTATATTCTGTTACAAAGATTTCAATTATTTCACTATATATTTAATACTTATCACAGAGACACGTACGAAACCATGTAGAACATAAACAAACTAATTATGCATCGAATTTGCCAGGTACTCAAAACAAAAGCATATCACGGTTACAATAAAAGACAAAAACAAATAATAAATCTAAGTTAAGTAGAAGGCGTAGAAGAGAAAGAATTATATTTCACTAAATTTGCTGTGAGATACAGCGCTGTGTTTAACTAATTTCTCGTTAATTTGCATTCTGAAATTTAGATCAACTTTAACACGCCATTTTGTTCATGAACGATCAGCTGGTAATTCCACACTTGGCTGGCTTCGACCACAGTGCTGACGTAAAATATCCTCAGCGGTAGACGAATCACAGGTTAGAGCTTCCTTGCTTTCGGAATAACAGTGGAAGGTTTTCGTAGTTTTATAACGCCAACCATATAACGGCAATGCAAATTAGTTCCATCGTAATGTCCTTCACGAAGGCAAAATTTCGTCCAATAGTTGATCCAGAAGTTTCTTGTCTTTTGGGTTCGAAATTACAAGGCTACGAAGTTGAACTTTTGTACTGGTAAACCTGAAATTAGATCTGCTGATAAATTACAGTTATTAAATTAAATATAGAAAACAATCAGCTGACTGATTGTTTTCTATATCAGCTGTGATATTCTTCTTCTGAAGTGCAGTACTCAATTATGTAGGCCGTAGATGAAACATTTAAAAATTAAAATTGGAAAATTTGGATATACGAGGACAAATTTTTAAGGTCCACTCAGTCATGAAATTAATCCGATGTAGCAGTGTATTTAATATACATGTTCATCCTTTCCAACCCAAGCGCGCAATGCATCAACATTGAAGTAAAATGGAGTCTGTCAAGTGTTCGTCTGTATTCAATTTTTTACACTTATAATGCAGCCGAATTCATCATTGAATGAGTAAGTGATAGCAAAGTAGCGTGATAGCGTTGGAACTTGGAAGTAAGACTCTGATTTTCATGATTCAATTAGGCAGGGTAAAAGCAATGATCTTGATTAAAGAGTGAATCAACTTCAACTCTTAATCTTCGCGTGCAGGTCGTTGGGCTACAGAGGCAGGGGTGCCATCCACTCTGCAGAGGATTAAAATTGTGATGGCTTGCCTTCGGATCATCCTCAAGGAAGTTTCCCAGACCGTCTCCAATAGCCTCTTGTGCAGCTCTAGTGCGACGTAAAATAACTAAAACAACAGCTACATAAATTCTTAATTCTGTTCTAGCAATTCATTTGCTGAATGATTCGATTTCTTGATTTTCAACTTTATATTTATTATATTAAGAGCATTTTAGGGTATTTTGGTTCAGGCGACGAACTGTGAACCAACATAGAGAATTAGGTAGAAACACATTCGGTTAACCCTGTTGAGGATATTAGGAAATGAGTGCCACATTTGCACCACACCACGATAATTAATAAAATGATATATTTATAAAAAGAGTGAAAAAATTACATTTCTCAAAATTTATTCAAATTTACGGTATAAAAACGAGTGTTTATCAAAACAAATACCATTTCGCTGTTGTTTTATCGATTCAATTAATTTCTTCACTTCATTTACGGTCTTGAAAAGCATAGCTCACGCTCCCGAATAAAAATGGTGCACGCGTCTATTTTCCGACACGTATCTTTTGAATTAATCTGAAAACTAAGTGTGTCTCATTCATTAAATTTAAATTCTTTTTTACCACTGTTTCTTTAGGAAGAAGCATTTAACTCTAGTCATCCTTATTGGGGTAAGACTGTAATTGTTGGCCTGAATGATACTGGATCGACAATGAAAGCAGGGGTCTGGGAGTTGTTATACGGCAGACAACTGGTTGGCACATATTATGGATGTGAGTATAATGTTAATAATTTTAAAAAAAAAAATTTTGATAATTTCTTAAAAGAATTCTAAAGATCTTTAGATATTAACTTAGCTTGCGTAAGGTAAGAACATTTTTAAGCATGCCTTCCATATTTCTACCTGTTCTGAAAAGAACTTAAACTAAAAACTAAACTAAACTCAGCGGTGAGATATTCTTGACCTTGGGCTCTGGGGTGCAGGAGCAGATGTTCCGGACAGGTGGTCAGCCGAACGCGGAACCCCCAGTGTTTAGTTCCCAAGCATGCTTGGTACTCATTTATTGACCCACTGAAAGGAAAGGCTGAGTCAGCCTTGCCCGGCCCGAGGATCGAACTAGGGACCTGTGGCACGACAGCACGAAGCGCTACCGCTCAGCCACCGGGCGACGAAATGAAAAGAACTTAATCTTACAAATAATCTGCAAATTAAAATAATTTTTATATTTGCCAAAAATTAAAACTTTAGGAAATTAATTAGCTCTAGATTACCTAAGGAAGTCATTTTGACTGCTTTTAATTTCAATTCGAAAAACAAGGATGTATATAATGACACAATTTCTTAGAATTTTATACAACTTATAAACTTTTGATTGTTCATATTTACTAATATCTTGTTATATAACTGTAAATAATATAAAAATATTAAAAATATATTTTAAACAAATTTCCCTACACATTATTTATTCTTTTACAATCCAGTCATTTTGACTTTTTGGGGCAATATAGATATATACTAATTTTCAGTCTTTCTAGCGTTAAAAACTTTTAAAATTTGTTTTTAATGTAAGTTTAAAGCTAATTAATGAATTCATTGTTCTATCATTATATTGTAGATCATTTTATTTATTCAAAATCAATGAGACTTAGAGGATCTTCAAATAAAATTTATATTTGAACTGCTAAAGCAAAGCTCAGATGTATTTTTGTACCAATCAGAACTGCAAAAGATCTTCCGATTGAAACTGCGTTTATAATTCTTCATAGTTTGAATGCACTGCAGCATTTCATTTAGTATAATTTTAATGCAAAAAATATTTTTCACATGCAAAATACTAAATATAATTTGTTATTTTATTATTGATAACGCACATTAGTTTCCTACATGCTTCATAAGACAAACTTAGAACATTATTTAAATAAAATATATATTTTTTGCAGCTTACACGGCAGTTCGTGATATTCCTCATCTTGTTGATAAAGTCTTGAATGGACAAATACAGTTAGAAAAACTGATTTCTCATCGTCTACCACTAGATAAAATCAATGAAGGCTTTGATTTACTGAGAACTGGCCAATCGTAAGTTATCTTACGCTTTAAAAGTTTTCCTGCAAAAATATTTAATAATATAATCATAACATATAATGTATAATTGTATTATAATATAATCATAATGTATAATATTATATACAATTTATAATTATGTTATAATGAAAATATAATGTATAATAATATAATAATAGTGCATAATAAATATAATTATAATATAACTATAATGTATTATAATATGTTTGTTATTATTTATCAGAACTCATGTGTAAAATTATAGTGAATTTAAAAGAGAACGTTTCTGTAAAATTACAGAAGAATATTCAAAGGAGACTCAGTAATATTACAGAAATAAAGTAAGACTCAACTGTAAATCCTGAAAAAAAAATGACCTCATGAAATTTTTCCTCAAAAGTTTCGACTCAACACGCCGCACCGGGTAAATGGATGGCTATTTACAATTGAAGTAAAAAACAATATATTAAAATATCTGAAAGAAAGCCTCTTTAATAAAATTCCCAGCAAAAACCTATAGTTTCCAGAAGTCTGTTAAAGAAAAATTCGTTTTTGTGCGTTCGAGCTAGTTCTAGTACTAGTACACATTCTCGTCTTTTTCCCTGTATTTTTGCAGGAATTTCGGACAGTTAAAATATTTTATAACTTTATTATCAAAGAAAGTCTATATTTTTTGTTATGATCCAAAATGTTGACAACAGTGTCAATTGATGTAATAGGATAATCTATTCTAAACTGAAATATAAATAGTTTTGAAGAAATAATATGTCTAAAGCATCGCCAGGGCAGTTGCAGGGTCAAGCGAAAAATATTTTTACTTATTTATTTAATAACGTGATGGTATCGAGCTGTTGCACATAATCAAAAATTTAAAAATGATACCAATTTTTTGAAATTATCCCCCCTTTTATTTAAAAATAATTTTTAAGAAAAAATAATTTTTAAGAAAAAATAATTAAAAAAGAACTAATTTTTTAAGAGGTTGCGTTTTACTGAAAATAAAAATTATTTTCAAAAGTTGACGAAACATTTAGTTTCTCTCCCCTTAATGCAACTTTTTCATTTGAATTTCAAATGTACATCAAATGAATGAGCTAACTAAAGAGCAGTTGCCATTTCATTTCTAATTTTTATAATAATAATCGTTTTTATTAGAATAATAATCGTTTTTATTAGAATAATAATCGTTATATAATAAAAACGATTTTATTTATAATAATATCGTTTTTATTTATAAAAATATCGCTTTTATTTATAAAAATATCGTTTTTATTTATAATCGTTTTCATTTCTAATCTTTATAATAATAATCGGCAAAAAATATCGTTTTTGAGTAAGCTTCATCTTTTGTAATTTTATTCAAAAATAAGTAAATTTTATTGCTCGGTCGGATAGTTCACTCTTGTAGGTAATAACTGTAGGGGAGAGTGGGGTCAATTGTAACATTTTTTACTTAACTATCTTTAACTTACAAAAAATCCAATATATTATTAGTATTAATTGACAGAAGAGTAAGGTAGATTATCCTCTACTAGAAAAACAATAAATACCTTATTTTAAATGTTATTATATTAGTTATTAACAATTTTTGACAGTTGTGCACTTGTTACAATTGTCCCCACTTACGGGGTCAATTGTAACAGCTCATAAATTCAACTAAAACATAGTTAATTATACGTATTATCATAGTTGTGATATATTTTTTTATTTGATCAAAATAGTAGTGATATTTTAGGAGTAAAAATAATAATGAGCAGAGACCTAAAGGGTTAAACTTTTAACTTTAAGGGGTTACAAATTTTAATTTATGCTGTGAAAGGTGACAAATAAAATAATGCACATGCAACATAATATAAATGATATAGGAAACTATTGGCGTCTCTTAAAGAGTTGAGTAATGGTTTGTAAACGTAAGATTATTTATTTTCAGCTGTTACAATCGTTCCTTTACTTATTGTTGCAATCGTCCCCAAGACGCCATTTCAGCTTCATTTGTTAAAAACAATGCTAGTTAATTAACAAAACAAATTTTTTTATTGAAATGTTAATTAAGGTGTCCACTTACATATTCGGTTAATAATTTTTATTTGTTTAAACAAAATTACTTTGTTACAATATAATATTCTAATACCAAAAAAGTACTTACGTAGCGTGAAAATATCTTTTGTGATGTAACTCTTTCACAAGTACCTAAAAATGGTTGCCAGCAGGGGTGTACATGTAGATTTATTAAATACACCTTGTGTGCCACTTAGGAACCAAATCTAGAACCCGACACTCGAAATTTTTGCTCTGTTACAATCGTACCCTGTTACAATTGACCCCACTCTCCCCTATTCTTTATTTCAAAACGATATAAAAAATACCATTTATAAGTAGATTACAATGGTGAATGTAAGTTCAGTTAATAGTACAAAAATAGTTACAGAAGCATATTTTAAAGTTGAAACACAAAAATTTTTTTTATTAAATATTCCCGAAATTATTGTTTTAGTCAACGGCAGGAAGTAAATTTTAAACAGTCGCATTTTTCATTGGTTTAATACATTCAAAATTCCATCAAAAGTAGTTGTTTTTCGTCTAATTTAACATAAATTTCTTGCTCATTCTTTTAGATTTCTTTCGTTGTCTTCTTTTTAAATATCATGAAAAGAAAATTAACTAATTTGAATTAAAACCTAAATATAAATGCACACAATTTTAAGTGGGCATCGACTTACAATTTTATTTCCTCATGTAATTCAGAACAATTAACTCGAAATAAGAAAAATACATATTTATTAAAACAATTAACTTCACCATTTTACCACCTATGTAAACTTTAAGGCTCGAATCTTTCTATTTACTTTTATTAATTAAAAAATTATATTGAGCATCCATTTAATAAAAATAAATGTTTCTTTCATCTTTCAGGTTAAGGGCAATCATTGATTTTGACATTAAAGCCTAAAGAAGGAGAATTTCTGACTGTTAGTAGACTGTAGTCCAAAGTTACGGAAATCCTTACGTAGCTTATGAACAACATAGAGCAACAGTTTCATTTGAATGTTGATAAAGACTGCTAAGAAAATTCAAGTCATATTGAGTTTTATAATTATAATTTTTCTGTAATCTACATAAATAAACATATTATTTAAAACTTTTCTGATGTTATAATTCTATTAAATTATAATTCCTTAATATATTTTTTTTATCATGAACAACCCTTTTACCCGGGATTTCTTATTATATCTTCATTTTTATCATTCTCTGGATAAAGTTGATGAGCCGATAATCGTATTCACCGCTATTTTGTATCCATAATTGGAGATTTATAAAAAAAAAACTGCAGGAATTCTAAGGAGAAATAATAATGCGTAAATTCAATTAGCGGTATTTAGATGAGTGCCCCCTCAAAATGCTGTGTCATTTGGTAATCGAAAAAAAAAGCAAGCAAATATTATCTAAATTTCAAGAACGATTAAACACGCATACTTCTTCTGCACTATTTGAATGTTCTTTTTACGGTTCACTTTTTTAAATAATTTTCCCGAATTTATTTTAAGCCATATACGATGAAAATTGTCATGTCTGGTACACTTATAAAAACGACAAGAATATAGTAAAATTTACCATTTTTCTGACTATATTGGAACACCAAAAAGCTAGGTAATTGTTAACGAAGCTCTCGATAACGATTTTAGAGAAATTAAGAATAAAATATGAATTTATACGTGTTTAAATTAGGTAAATGTGGTAAAATTTCGTACTTTTATCATAATACTTTGGATCATGGTATAAAAACCATTTATTCGGTTAAATTTACTTTTCAGTTTTATATTTCTAAATATATGTGAGATAATAAGAATTATATTTTTGAAGGTCAGAATTCCCGGTAAACCTTTACCATATAAACAGAAAAATTACCAAATTAATATTTAATATATCGTATATTTCAGTTTTAATAACCAGGATTAAATTTTTTATACCAAAAATGTAATTACCATACAGTATCGCAATTTTGCCAGAATATTTTTCTCCGTGCGTGTCTCCTAATATTTTTACTTATTCTAAATAAAATAAATCTCATTTAATTTTAATATTATTGATTGTTTTGTTTTTAGTATGGCCAATTTCTTAGAATTCTATTTTTTCTTAAATAAATTTTATAATTTCACTTTTTTTTACTTGTAACTGTCTACAAAGGATTAGAATCTAAAGGAAAATTATGTATAGTTCCTATCACTTAACGAAAAAATATTTTTAAATTACAAAGTATTATAATTGCTGTAAGACCAATAGTAACCGACTTACCCCCGAAGGAGTTTGCGGATAAGGGTTTCACCCGTTTGCACGTGAATAAACACTAACAAACTACAGAAAAGTAAAAGTATTAAATTGAAAAGATTAAAACACATAGGAAAAATCCCAAAATTGAAAAAGTAAAATAAAAATAAAACAGAATAAAAATTAAAAGAGCTTAAAACATCAATGTGGACAAAATCAACCGACAATAAAAGCATCAAAAATACAGGTAAAAACATATAAAAGTAAGGTCAGGTGAAACATCAAATGGTAAAATATGAAAAATCACATTAAAAATAAAAAAGACTAAAATAAGCCTAGTGGAATAAATAAAATAGTCGACTAAAAGTTCAAGTGTCTCCCTTTCAAGGCTAAGTGCCTCTAAGATTAAAAATGTTCTAAGGTAAACCAAAGTTTCACTGAGAGGATAACACTCAAAGATGACACCAGGTAAGACAGAGGGTGCTGAATTTGACCAAGAGCAAGATTTCATTTCGAACGTCCCATGTATAATGAAGATGCCAGTTCAAGGGGAGAATAAAGTCATGGAAACGGCAAGTGCCGAAGTAAAATACTAAAAGCAGAAATTTAAAACCAGAAAACCTAAAAGCCGAAAGTTTAAAAATAAAACCAGATAAAATTAGTCAGGTGTGCTCGCAGGGGCAAGCAGATCATCGAGGGTATATTTAAGAATTTCGATGATTTTCTCCCTGCAGTCAATATCAGCATAAAGTTGATATTGAGTGTATTGATCCCATTTTCTGCCACGGATCATCTGGAATTTGGGACAAAATTTTATAAGATGGTCAATGTCTTGTACTCTGCCACAAAATTTACAATTTGCTCGTTTATTGAAGAATTTCTGCGGATATATTCTGAAAACCCCGTGGCCCGTTAAGAATTGGTTTAAATAGAAGTTTGACTGCAGGCGAGTTAGAAATATAATAATATTATGATATATAATTAAAATAATTGCTATAATATTGCAATTATATATCATAATATTATTATAATTCATAAAAATAACCTATACACGCAAATGAAGAAAAATCTGGAATTATTAATCGTGATCTTTCAATATGTGCTGTACAAAATTTACGAATTATTCTTAATAAACTGATCATATTTTTATAGAGATAATGCTAGAAACGTTTCTGTTTAGGATAAGAAACAAAAAATAATATTTTTATGGATAATTCTTTTTCTAGTGTGATTTTAATTAAATTTGAATATAATTTTACTTTTTCCGGTTTCTCAAACTTCAGTATAAATGATTTACTATTCCTAAATAATGCAAGCCACTGCTTCGAATATATATCAGGTAAGTTCGAATGTTACCATCAAACATTTGACAGCCTGATTTGTTTAAAAAATGATTCTTCACTTTTTTATATTTAAAGAACTATTGTGAAAAAATGATTAACTGAAAACAAAGTACTTAAAAATATTTTCATGTGTCTACGGTAAATATATGAAATAGTCGAAAGAATTGCTTTTCATTTCAATTTTATTTCAACTTAAGAAAACTGTAAACTTGGATAAGACAAAAGTTTTCAACTTTACCTGAATTGAATATGGGCCACTATTTTGCAACAATAAATATGAGATTTTGAAAATAAAATTAAAATCCTGCATCACGGAGAAAACATAATACTATGTAATGTGCTCCAGTAAAATCTAATATTCTTACGTTTTTAGGTCAATTTTGTAAGTTAATGATACGGTTGAATCAAGAAAAGTGTTTATTGCACTTAATTTAATATTTTGTTTTAATTTTATTTATGTCAGCTAAATCAACGAACAACATTAACTTCGTTGCATCACCAAATTTCTAACATCATCTGAAACCACCTGTTTGATTTCTTTATAGTTATGATTTTGAAACGTGTTACTATAAAAGTAAATAGTTTAAAATCAACGAAATTGAAATTTTAAAAAAACAAGAGTTTTATACTGAAAAACAAAATTAATGGATGTCACTAATTCATTGAGGAGAACTATATTATTATAATAAATGTCAACATTTTTATTGACATCAATAAAAATCAATTCTAGTACTAGTTATTAATTTTAAAAAAAATAGGCTATGTACTGAAAAGCAAAATGAGGTCTGCGTCAACAAATTAAGGTTATCTGAAACCACGTCTTATTTTGTTTTTAGTTTAATAGATTTTGTTTATAGATTTCGATAAAAGTAAATAATTCAAAATCATCGGTAATTGAAATGAAAAAAAAATAGTTATGCATTGAAAGGTAAAAATAAAGGAAAAGTAGTACTAAATCGCTTATGAGAAAAATAAAAAAAAATATCCGTACAATTATATGCACTAATAATGTTTAATTCATTTTTGTAATGTGATTTAATTGAAAAAAAATATTTTATGTACTAAAAATTTAAGTTAATGAAGAGAAGGTACTTTTAGAGGAACCGTGGAAAAATCGCTGTAAGAAGATAACGCTTAATCAATTTCGTAAATACGTATTACTGTTATTGTAGAAAATGGTGCAACTTTACTAATAATTCTGCAAAAGATTTTAGTAGTTTCAGAAAATATATTTCCAGTGATATCAGAGATAGTGCATTAATACTTTAATGAATTAGAATTAAAAGAACTTTTTTGTACCATTACTTACAAGTATTTTAAACAGTGCATTAAAAAGCAAATCGAGAAATGGTTATGCTCTAAATTTCCTTTAAAGGTCTCATAACAATTTTATTTGATTTAAAAATTTTTGTTTTAGTTTGCGATAATTGATAAATGCATCTAGTACTATATTCAAATTCTATTCAATAAAGTTGATTTCGTAGTATTGGTTATTTTTGTATTATTGGTTATTTTTGTTTTATTCACTCCGTACGAAAAACGGGTATTTAACTAGTTATAAATAATTTTCTCTATACATTGTGATTGAGATGAGTCTCAGAGTCAGTGATAGGTAACAAGGACCAATCAACAAATACGTATCGATAAAAAAAATTCCAACACAATCAATTATTGTATTGAATTTTGAACCTTGAAGATTGATGTGATTGATAGGCAAGAAAAAAATACAAAGTTCATGTGTCCAAAATAAGAAAGATTAGAATGAAAAGAAAACTGATTAATGATAAACGATAAGAATTTATATATTTACACTACTTTTGATAGACTTTAATAAGATATTTTGATCTCCATCATTTTATTTTTTTTTCTCATGGAAATCAAGGAAATCAAAGCGATCAAAGTAAAACCTCTATATTGTTTCCAGTATTAGTGAAAAACAATGACAACAGCCGGAAAGGTAAGATTACTTTTTGTTGCTACATTAAATTAACAAAAGATTAAGATTGGCCAGGTGTGAAATTAAAAGCCATAATTTTTTAGCTGTTATTGGAATAAATTCCAATTTTATATACTAGATTTTAACGGATATGAAATTAGTTTGGACATACACAAGTATAGTAATAATTTAATAAGATTAAAAAAAAAAAACATTTCATTCATTCTCACAGAAACCTGTTTACGTAACATAAAATGATTCAATTAATTCTTTTTTAAAATTTTATTACAATGCACTTTGGTAGTTGCGTTGATTTAACAAGAGTTACTCCCTTAACAGAATTCTTAGTTAAAAATACACTAAAACAAAGAATCTCTCCGTAACCGAAAACTATTTCGGTAAAAAAAAGTAACTAAATAGAATCCAAATTATGATTGTAGTACTGTTCTTCTTTTATAACATTTTTAAAGCTTTTGATGAAAGATATTTTGATTCTTTCATGAGGAAACTTTATCAAATCAAGTTGGATAGAATTGAATTTAAGTGCTATTTCTTGAAAGAGCATTGAAATTAATAGTTACATTTTAATGCAACATTAACGAAGCGCATTGAAAAAGAAATATTAGTGATTCATAGTTTTATCAGCTTCTACTAAAATAAATTGTTCAATAATAGTGTTTTTAGGCATTATAAGTTTATTAATTTACTAAACAAGATAAATTAATCTTCAAGAATCAAAACTATAATTGTTATAAACTATTTGTTAAAATAATTGTTCATAGTTGCTAAGTATTTTTAAAGTGATATAATAAGTGCCTATAAAAAATTAAGGAAAGAACTGCATAAAAGTTTCAGTGCTGTTTGGTTTAATGTATGTAATTAAAGTCGCATTCTCCTTTTTTAAAGAAGCTTTGAAAATTTCAGCTTTGAACAGTAATTTTGCCGATCAGTCGTTTTATTAAGAAAATTTGCTAAATTTAATTAGTTATTTATTAAACATTAATTTTTTGTGCTAATTATAAATACATTTTAAAATTCTCTTATTAAATATAATTCTCAGCATTTTACTTTGCTAAATATTCTTGTAAATAGAACTATCAAAGAAATTGCAATTATGACGGGTGTTGAAATTTCCAATTTATTAAATAAAGAATCGCGTTTTAAATAATTCAAATTGTTATCATAAAAACATTTTCTGCAAAATAAAAAATTCTGGACTAAGTTACGGTATTAAGTACCAACACTTTGGTTGCATCAGCCGTAAAATTCATTTTTATCGTAAAATATTATAGCCTAATTTTTACAGTGATTTTAATGTAATTATTACTGTAAAAATGCGATATATCAGTTTTTTTGTTTCATAACATGTTCTGGTAAAAGTGGATTTTATGGTAAAAAAGTACCGCAGTTAGCAACCTAAGTGTTGATACTTTTTACCGCAATTTGATCTGGAATTCTTTACAATGTGCAAAAAGTTGAAACTTTTAATCTACCGATTACGTATATTAAAACGTTTCAAAATGTAAAAAAAAAAGCTTAAGTTCGAAAATTACCCAAGTATAATGTTTTAATTGCTTTGGCGAGTATTTGGCGAGTAAATTTCGAGAAAATATTTAGCGATGGTATGTATTTTCAAAAAAAAAATTTTTTTCAATATTTTTTAATGTAACTGATTTTTTTCAGCCAATCACATGCCGAGCCGCAGTGGTATGGGAGATAGGAAAACCCTACTCCATTGAAACAGTTGAAGTAGCAACTCCTAAGAAAGGAGAAGACTCCTAAGAAAGGGTAAAAGTATGTTTTCCACATAAGGAATTTTACAAAAAATTTCGGAACTAATTTAGAGACAGAACTACACTGATTTTCAAATTACAAAACTTATTTAATTGAACTTTTTGTTACTAAATGTTATAATTTTAAAAATTGAGGCAGGCCCGATTAATATATTTAGCCCCATTTCTTTTCCTTCCCTTAATTTAATATTTAAATATCTTACTTTAATCCATAATTTAATTGGAAATATAATATTTGTTTTATTTAAAAGCACATCACCGATTAGAAACACATCACCCAAAGTTTTAATAGTTTTTGTGCCATTCATTAAGATATATGTGATTTTATAGATTTTGGTGTTTCAATTTTATATGCATCTCCAAACGTAGGGAAAGCGTAAGTAGTAAGAAATTCTGGATTAAATTACGGAACAAAAGTACCGGTACTCAGGTTGCTGGTACTTTTTATAGGAACACGTTGAATCTAATTTACCTTAATTTCTACAATAATAATTTCAGTAAAATAACTGAATCACTCGAATTAAACAAATATTACTATAAAAATTACGGTATAACATTTTATGGTAAAAGTGGAGTTTACGGAGAAATGGACATTATGGTTGATACACCCAAAGTGCTGGTACCTTATGTCATAATTTGATATGGAATTTTTTGCAGTATAAATGGTTTTGACAACTGGAGCCAGCTTATAAACACCTTTCTTATAACAATACTAGTGCAAGATTTTAACAACCTTCCTTATAACAAATACCTATGACAAAAATGCAGCATAAACTTAAAGTTGTGCATAAAAATATGTGGCAAATGAAGGGTTTATTCCTCTAAAAATAATCATAGGATTTTCTTCAGAAAACACTCGAAGAATTTTTCTTCTAGTGTAAAATATCTTCGGATTTTCTGTAAGCACTACCTTTTTCGTTTTGAAGAAACATTCCTTTTAAAGTATTTGCGCAGTCCTGAATAACTTGCCAATATGCTGCTTTGATAGTCCAATTCCTTTACGCGAATATTTGTGGCCAACTCCTACGTCATTCTAAAGAAAATAAATTCAAAAGAAGCTTCAAAAGTTTTTGTCAAGTCCAAAAACAGTTTCAAAATTCGTGCAGAAGATTTTCTACGAAATTGTGCATCTACAAGTGATAAATAAGCTATTGTGTTCAGATTTTCTTCTGAGTCTTATTTTTACGAAATCTTCTGATTATTTTTGGAGAGCATTCCAGAAAATATCCAATATGACATTGCTTAGGTATTGTTTTTTACAGTGGCAGTTTCATCACGAGTTGAAAAAGTAGTGCTTCCTTCCTTTGCCGACTATGTATTTCGCCAAGGAGTAATTTACTTTCTTTCTCAAATATGCTATTATACTGCTTGGGGGGACACGTGAAAAGTACTGTGTTAAAGAAAATTATTCCCAGTTCTAGACGAATCATAGATTAGAGTCGATAATTGTTGGTCCAAATATGAGGTTTCTGTGATGATGAAGGGTGGGTCATGGACTATGAATGGAAATCATCTGCATGGGTCATCTGATACATCTGATACACGGATCTGTTATTCTGAAATGAAGCAAAAGACTCTTTTAGATCACTTCATAACATACAAATATTTCAATTAATATGAGACTAGAGAAGTTAATCTTGTAGATGAACCAAACGAATTTAACTCACCAGAATACACTTTCTGGATAAAAGTATTCAGACAGCCAGTTGTTATGGTGGTGGTGGAAGCATAATGGTGTGGGGGTGTTTCTCGTGGTTTGGCCTAGGTCTGTTAGCTCCTGTGGTTGGAAACATAAACTCTGAGATATATGTGGACATTTTGGACAGTGTTGCACTCCCAACTCCATGGCAATATTTCGGGGAAGGACCATTTCTCCCCCAGCAGGATAACTGCTCCATTCATACACCGGGGCCTGCACAGACGTGTTTTAACGAAATGAGTGCTGAAAACCTGGCCTTCTCAAGGCTCTATCTAAATCCCATAGAGCATCTTTGGGGCGAATTAAAGCGCAGATTACGTAGCCAGCCAAATCGAACATCCTCACTGCAAGCACTCACTTCAGCTGTGATGGAAGCCTGGAAGTCAATTCCGATGGCCACCTATCAGGAACTGGTGGAAAGTCTATGAGCAAGCTGTCATAGATGCAAAAGGGGGACCAACATCAGATTAATATGTGCCTCGGAAAGCTCTAAGTCCATACCAACTGGGTGTTTTGGCCTGATAGTATGTCTTCTCCTCATACTTTATGCACTTCCTATTCAATGTATAAATGTTAACATTTCTTCATCAATCAAAATAAACTTAAAAAAGTAGTTCAATTTAAAAAATAAAGATATTAGGGAGTGACAAGTTCGGACAAAGTTTTAAAATTAATAAACATTAAGTCTGGACCCATTATTGGTCACAGATTAATAAATCTACGAACAGAATCACATGAAACCTCTAATAAGGATCATCGCAGAATGAATTTTCTGACTGATTGATGCCATTAATTTCACGACAAATAAGTTTTGTTCTACGTTTCATACGAATGCAGTTATTGAATATAGAGTTTTCTTCGAATACAGTTATTGAATGCAGAAAGACTGCAAAGCAATACTTTGAAATTTCTTCTTTCAGATGGCTTCAGCTGGTATTTGTCATTCAGATCTTCACATACAGAATGGAATTGCCAAAAAGTTTCCATTTCCAACAATTTTAGGACATGAAGGTGCTGGATTTATAGAAAGTGTTGGAGAAGGTGTGGAACGTTTTAAGACAGGCAAGTATGAAACTACTCCGTAAACACTATTCTATAGGAAATAAAAATTCCATGCGTAATATAATTAAAAAGCTTTATGACTTATGTTTCTCATGACTGTAAAATGTAGACTATGGGATAAATTCTTAAATCTTATCTTTTAAACAAAACACATAATCATAGGATTTTAAGTTTTTCAATTTTGTTTATAGGTGATTTAATTGTATTTGCATTTATATCTTATTGCCGTGAGTGTGATTGGTGCATGAGTTCAAAGACCAATGCTTGCAGAAAAACTCAGGTTAGATATTCTTAATCATTTTTTTTTTTTTTTTTTGAAATCAGAAGCCAAGTAGATTTTATTCCAAAAGCAATATATTGTTTTATCTAAAAAGCTTTCCACTAGTTCACTGAAAAGCCGCAAAAAGTTTGCTAATTAGTTTTATTTTCCTGTGATAGATAGTACTTAAAAATGTCCAATCATTTGCCTTGAGATAGAGCTACAAAATTTTTGCAAAATAACACTCTACATCAAAAAGCCACAGCAAGTGAAACCAACGAGACTAATTCTTCAAATTATGTTGGTTTAATTTTAATTATTAATAAAATCTTTTGCAGTGAGAATAAATCAGAAGTTCTCTGAAGCAACACTCGACATCAAAGTCATCGCAACATGTAAAACCGATGAGACTAATTCTTTCAACAACGCTTTTTAAGTTCTACCGATAGTGAATTAAGACCAAAATATCTTAAACCTACCAACTAAACTTACAAATATATAAATAAATAATAGATCGTGCAAAGTCATTGTTGCTGTATGCAGGATGTAACGAGATTATTGCATTTGATCTGCATTTTTGAATTATTTTTTACAAATAAACTAAATAAAAGTTATAGCTTATGAGTCACAACTAAATATTTGAGCGGGAAGAAAAGAAAAGAAAAAACGTAGTCGGAATTTACTGACGAATCATTAGGAACGAGGAAGATAAGATAAAAAAAAAAAAAAGGCATGTTTAATTGGATACCTGTAAGTGACATAATCTTAGGTAAATCGCTGCATTTGTGGAGTCAGAGGTCAGTCGAATACACACGTGACGTCGCTTACAAATATCCAATTGAATCCGATTTAAAGCACACTGTCGGATCACTTCACTTCATCGGTGTCGGATCGGTCACTTCATCGGTGTCGGATCGGTCACTTCATCGGTTGTAAGATGGGGGGGAAATTCCCGCTTGGGAAACTATTCACTCACTATTCAAACTGGTTTTGCTTTTTCTTTTCTTTTTTTTTTTTATCCCGTCCTCCCCAAAAGGAATTTTTCAGAAATTGATAACGTTTTTATGTTTTTCACGTGCCTATATATTTAGTTGCGCTCCTTATGTGCATTTCTTAACAAAAATTCGATTGATATATAAAAATATTAGTTATTACAAAAAAAAATATATATATATAGGGTGATTCTAAAAAGATGGGCAAAACTTTAGGAAGTGATAGTACACACCCAAGCAAACAATTTTTATCATAGTCGAAAACAAAAAGCAAAACCGCTGGAGGGCGTCAAAGTTTATGTTCCTATATGAGGCAAAAACACACAAAGAACGATGAAGTTAAGTTATAAAAGCAAATTTAATGGCATGTGATTACAATAAGTGTTCAAAACAGTGGCTATGCACGAAGTACAACGGCGAAGAAAAGATAGGCGAACATTCTGAAACACACCATCACGAACTTTCCCTGCAGTGGCTGAAAGCTTGGCGACAAGTTCTTCTGCAGATTCAATGGGAGTCTCATACATAAGAGCCTTCAGCTGTCCCCACAAAAAGCCAATTATTTTTTTAATATTTTTTGCCATTATAGCACTCGAATTAGCAGCTTTTATGTATGAATCGTGACGAAAAATTTGCATACGAGCTCTTCTTCTTCCCATAACATGCAAATAATAACTCACAGTGCAGTAACTCGCAACAGGAATGGAGCTTTCACGTTTGCATCGAACAACTTTCCAAATGCGCCAGCACCTTTGCGCTTTGTTTTCGACCATGCATTCTTTGATAAAAATTGTTTGCTTGGGTGTGTACTATCACTTCCTAAAATTTTGCCCATCTTTTCAGAATCACCCTGTATATATATTTATATAACACATTTATAACATTTAGAGAATTATCAGCACAATGTCTCTATTTTTTATTATTTTATTTATTACAATTTTTGTCAGTGTATTATGTCAGTACTTCACAAAAACCAACTATTATTTCTACCATCTTACATTGTTCAGCAAAATTTACATAATATCCTAAAACCTTAATAATAAATTAATATAATTCGAAGCATTAGTTATTTAAATACTTTTATTCTTTAAATTTCTTACACATTTGTACTTATTTGCTGTTCTTAAACAATAAGCAAAGGTCCTAATGCTTCTTTAAAATTTTGCCAATTCAGAAAACTGGTCTTCAAATGGACGGGACGTCTCGCATCTCAGCCAAAGGAAAAATGCTCACTCAAATAAATTCTCTAGGATTATTTTCGGAATATACCGTCACATCTGAATATAACGTCACAAAAGTGAGTACATTTTCTCTAAAATTTATTTAGTATTCAACTTTTGATAATACCAATTTCAAGCCCGGACAAAGTTTCTGAAGAAATAAAAATAAATGACTCTTGAGTTATTCAAGTAATTGCACTTGAACTTGTTTTCTGAAAATTTTTAAATAAACCATAAAAGAAAATTTTCTAATGAAAACAGTAGCACCAATAAAAGCAAGAGGTTAAGGAACTTTTTTTAAATTTATTAGAAGTTGCCTTTATAATATTAATTTCAGAAATGCCTAAATATTTATGAACTTATTTTATTGCATTTCAATCTAGTACAAAATGATCCTTTCACAATATAATAGGTGACTAGTGTACGATATAATAGGCGAGCGTCGCCATCATGTACACATTATAGTAGATGAGAAATCCGATCTTCTTAGAATAATCAAATCTAAAAATTTACGTGATACGTTTTTTTGTGTGAAGTTTTTAGTATTATTTACTGTTTGAGTCCTTTCTATAAACTGTAAGATAAAAATTCTGCTCTGCTACAAATATTTCACGAATGTATAACTGAATAAAAAGTTTCAACATTATGATTTTTTTTCTACAGCAGTAAATATCCAATTTTCTAGCGCTTATCAAGAAATAACAATCTTCTCTTTTCAGGTTAATCCTAGTGCTGATCCCAATATGCTGTGTCTAGCAGGCTGTTGCCTTCCAACTGGTTATGGGGCTGTCATTAATGCTGGAAAGGTGACCCCAGGATCGACATGTGCCGTTTGGGGTCTTGGAGGAGTTGGCATGTGTGTAATTATGGGTTGCCGTGACAGTGGAGCCTCAAAAATTATTGGCGTCGACACTAATCCAAAAAAATTTGAATTAGGTATTATTTTTCCGTTTTAACCTGATTAGTTAATATATTGCAATCTAAATAAGTTTCCATACTGGTCCAAAATTAGTTTTGTTGGACGAACAAAATATTCAGGGTAATAATAATAATAATAAATTTCTAGGAAGAAAAAAAAAACATCACACTCTAGCGCAATTTGTTGTCCATTTTGAAATTTATATATTTTCAAAGCATATTGACTGAAGTGAGCATTATTGTTTAATACTTGTTTGGTAATAGATGCAGCTGTTAAAAAGTGTGCGATGGCTATCTTTACACTTAGGCGATATTGGTTCGGTCGGCATAGTGTTAAGTGAGAATGAAAAACAATTGTGATGATGTGGAGGTGGTTATGTGGTAAATATATGAAGGCAGACACACAAAAAATTTTTTTTTAGAAATATGTAGTTTTACGTCACCGTCTTTCGTAAAATCCAATAATATCAGGTTATATCCTGATTTAACTTAATAATTAAGTGAAAAATCTAGTTTCAGATATTTTACTTCAATTTTAATGTGTGTTACAAACTTTTTAAGATCTATTTGTGCTTTATATGACAAAATATCTTCCTTATATCTCAAAACAAATTAATTTTGATTAGTTTTTTGAATCACTTCGTTTTCAATTGTATTTTATTGTTGTGTTGTTATAGCTAAGCAATTTGGTGCAACTGATTTTGTGAACCCTAAAGAAGTAAAAAGTGTACCTGAAACTTTAGCTCAAATGTGCAAAGATGGAGTTGACTACTGTTTCGTCTCCGTTGGAAATCTTTCGGCTATGGTAAGAATTTAGTTTACATCACAGGAAGAAAAAAAAAATCAAAAAACGTAATATATATCTAATTCATACTCTCACACAGAAAAATTAAAGCTTTCATGCTACAATATTATTACTTTAATATATTTCTCGAAAGTAGTTCAAATTGTTGACATGTTTAATGTAGGCGACATTTTAAGTTATGAAATAAGACCTAAAAACGTTCTTCATAAGAAAAAACATGCTTTTTTTACATTGAATTCTGGACTCTTCATTCTCAAAATTTGTAGCTATATTGAAGGTTAAGAATCCAAATTTGACGAAACAAAAATACCACACCATGAAAAAATTTACAGTTTTACCCTGACTGAAACTTTAGTAGAATTTAAACTTTCTGGGGATTCCAATAGATTCATATAATTTATTTGGGTCGAATTTCACTTAAGCAGAAGTGATTCTCGAAAAAATCTACACGCTAGAAAACGTAAGTATTTTTAAATATTTTTTTCTTTCAAGTTAGTAGTTCGGTGATTTGTATGAATCTTTTAAATTTATATTTATTTAATATTTAAAAATAATACAGTACAGAGCATGCAAGTCCCCGTATGTGTACCTAAGAACGAATAGCAAAATTTATGACAGCATAGTAGTCAAGTGAAATCTCATAGTATTATGAGTATTAATTTTATACCTATTTAATTTTATTAATTTTATATCTATAAATTAAATTAATTAATTGTTTTACATTAAGATAAATACATACACTTAATGGCTATAACTGTTTATTTTTTCTCCAACTTTTGAAATTTTAGCCCCAAGTGTGAAATTGTTTTTTTATAATTAACGTTAGTTTATTTTCAAAAATTATTTAGTTTGATTTGCAAAATTAAAACAGTTTTGAAACTGAGATTTATTGCAGCTAAAACATTGTACTTAAATAAAACTTAATGTTTTTTTTAAAAAAAAATTATATTTAACGTTAGTTTGGTTTCAAAAATTATTTAGTTTGACTGGTTTGCATAATTAAAATAGTTTTGAAATTGAGATTTAATACCACACTGCATTGCAGTTAAATAAAACTTCGCATTTTACCACGTTTATATAAACTTGCCTTCGTGTATGTCTGTCCGGGTGGAATTTTGTAATCGATTTTAAACTAACTTCCCGACTAGCTACAAACTTCAAATTTGGCACATAGTTCAGAATTGGATGACAATGCATGAAAATGAAGAGAAAAAAGACATACAAAGTAAAATAAAATTAAAATTTAAAAAAAAAATTATTTTCGAGATTGTCTTTTGTTGTCGATTCCATTATTTCAAATTAGTATTACATGTCAGGTGAAAAGATTTTTATTGTCGGAGTATTTTTATTGGCTGAAAAATCACGTGGTAGGATCCAGTTTTTCCTCATTCATTTCCAGATTGTTTTGGTTGTCATCAGCATAAAACTAATGAAAGTCGTAAAGGTATTGTTTTTCTATAAAGATTTTTGTATCCCTAATTTAAAATGAAAGTTCTATTATTTTAGTAGTGGTCTTGTAGTAGTCTTGACTACTCTTGACTAAGAAAAATAATCTAAATAAAAATATATATTTTTAAAAACCACGTTTTTTGTAGTGAAGAATAATAATTGAAAAGTAATAATTTTTAAAAAATATAAAATAAAAATTAAAAAAATTATAATTTAAAATAAAAAAATTCAAAATAAAAAATAATATTTTTAAAAACCACGTTTTTGTAGTGGAGAATAATAATTAAAAAAAAATTGAAAAACGAAAAACGTGGGGCGCATGAAATACATAACAGTACATATACACATACATATACACATTTTCTTACTCATACACATGCACAGCCACATATACATCCACATACATATGCATATACACAAACATATTCCACATCCACATTCAGATACAATTACAATTACAGATATACCATACACATATTTTCAAGAGCACACATACACACACTAATATAACATTACTGTTATGTATTTCATGCGCTCCACGTTTTTCGTTTTTCAATTTTTTTTTAATTATTATTCTCCACTACAAAAACGTGATTTTTAAAAATATTATTTTTTAATTCGAATTTTTTTTTAAAATATATTTATTCGTCTTAGTAATTATTAAATCCCTTCATCATTGTATAATTGTACAATTATTAAATTCCTTCATGGCAGTAAAATCGAACTTCGGAACTGTAAAATATTTCTTTGTTATACTCCTTTATACTTCAATAGTGAAGAGGTTGTAGTAAATTATTTCATAACCTTATGTAAGTCTTTAAGTTTTGTTTACCATTTTTGGAATCAAATACGAAAAACCAATTTAATATAGTCATTCATAACTTTCATATTTTTTAATAGTCTTATCTATTAAGATATCAATTTTTCTTGTGTGCAGCAGGTTTTGGATTAATAACTTATGTTTTAACCGTTGGTTTTCCAGGAAGAAGCATTTAATTCTAGTCATCCTCATTGGGGAAAAACTGTTATTATCGGTTTGAATGATATAGGATCAAAAATAAAAGTTGGAGTTTGGGAGTTACTATATGGCAGACAAATACTCGGGACTTTTAATGGATGTTAGTATTATCTATTTACTTGTTTGCTTTAAAGCCATGACTTTTATTAGTGTATGCTTAATATATAGTTATCTTTTAATTCTTGATGTTTTATCGCTTCCCATCGAATATTAACTGAATACCCATTCTTTGCATGGGATATAGAAAAAGAATGCTGTAATCAATCTGTATTAATCAATACTGCTCAGTTATGCATTAAACTTAAAAGCAAATACCTATGCATTTAAAAAAAATTTTAATATTTTCATTAATTTGACTAATAGAGGACACGGAATAATTATAATGTTAACTTTGCTTATATATGGCCCTGTTTCGAACATTTTGTTCAAAAGTAAAAGAACAAAGGTTTTGCAGAAATGTATTGTATGCGTTTAAATATAGTTTTCAGAACGTTTTTTTTTTATCTCACGGTTACTGCTACAATGATAGAATTATAAAATTTAGAAAAAGTAGCATATACATTTTATTTTCCACGGTACGTCATATTCATAGTAAGAAAAATTAGGAGAAACTATAAATTTGGCATTAAATACGGTGCTAGGCAGAGACGATGAAAATAACATTTTGTAAATTTTCGATGAGTCAGTGATTCAGCTGGACTAAAAGCTTACTAAAGTTAATGCAGAAAGAAATATAGCACTTGAGTATGCATGATGCATCCTACTCTTTCCACAACCGACTAGTGTTGCCAATATTTGTGCTAAAGATATATTTGCAATTCCTCATATGGTGACTGTAAATTACATTTCAAAGAAAAAGTAGGTGTTGACTTTTAAAAATTTCAAAATTTTGTCGCTATAACCATGAACTTGAAAGTAGAATAAATTTTTTGTCATTATTTTTGTTGGCATACGTTATTAAAACATCAAGTAAAATTTAAACAAAAACATTGCTCATTCTCTTGAATGCTATGCTTGACAGAGGATTGCAGGGTGTCAAAGTTATTTTGTTATTACTAAATAATATATTTTATCAGCTATATTAGCTACAAACTAATGTTATTCGATGGCAGATAATTTCACTTTTTTATTAATAAAAATGTTGCACCACATAATTTATTTTCATAATTTAATAACCTACAATAAAGAATTCGCAACAGTTTTCTACTAAAGATAGAGTTCAAACCATTTTTCAATCAAATGATTTTTCATTTAAGAAGTAGGAAAATTAGTTAATAAATAATTTAAGTTTCAATCATAAAATAATTTTCATTATCTCCAAATAAAATATTTAAATTAAATCACATGTAGAGTAGTTCATAAGGACTGCTCTTAATGTGTAATTTTAGAACCTTTATTAAAACTGAAAATAAAAAATATGCAACATTAGAGGTAGGAAACTCATTTGTAGCCGACGGAAAAAGTTAAAACGCAATCGATATTTCTTTAGAGAAAGACAGGCATAACAAACACTAAAACTGGTTTCTAATTATCGTTTTTGTACTTCTCTTTGTTTCCTTCTGCAATAAAGCCTGTCTTGTTGTTAATTACTTTCGCCATCCAGAATTACCATTTGTCCAATTTCAAAAGCAATTTAGTTTCTTCTTGCTTAAATACTAAATTGTGACCTCAACGTGCAACGTTTTGCTTTCGTTTTTTATGACGATTTTTAAACTACATGTTAAGAGTGGTCCTTACTGAAAACCCTATGTAAATGTCATATTTGTATTTAGAAAAACTTAACAACAATGTTTATTAGTTGTCTTCCAAACTTGAGAGCTTTGTGCGCTTATTCAGAAAGTATAAAGTTTAAACGACTTATTCGAAAGAGTAGGTTCTAAATTAGCAGTCTCTAAAATATAGCGTTAAACAATGTGGATAAGATCAAACATTTTACAAAAGCCTCAACCCAATTAATGTTGCCTAGATTAACTTCATTTTAATCTTGTATTTTTCTAAATTGTATAAAATTACAGTTAATTTCTTTGCAAATGTAATTTTGAATTGAACTATAACTTGTAAACTATAATTATTAAATTGATTGCTCCCTTGTTTAGTTTTTCTTGAGTTTAGTAAGCTGAAAATTTTTTGAGCCACGCGACTTATATATCCCAAACCTTCATTAATTGCTGACAGCATATTTCAACATATATTTTTTAACATACTGTTTGACTCATAATTTCTATCACATTCCGAATTTCTAACTTTGAAAAGGCATTCTCTAAAAAAATAATGAAATAAGTACGTCACCACTTACTGGAATAATCAGTTTAATTTTGAACCATAATATCATCACATCATATCGTTGGTATGCACATTTACTGAGACTTTAAAAACGTTTTAAATTGAACCATATTCAATTTTTCCAGTTGAAGCATAGTATCATAAAAATCAGTTGAAAAAGAATTGTTAATACCGTAATATTATGGACTTTCTATTAAATTTGCACACTATAATGGTTCAACCAACTACAGACTGCGTAATACACTTTTTAAGTGAAGTTTGTAAAAACAGATTTTCAAATTTTCTTTTTAATTAACATTAAAATATTTTTAAAAGGCTTGTAAATTTATTATTTGTAAGAAATAAATACTTTTGGGCTATAAGTTTCTAATGTTATTCGTGATGGTAAAAATAAATTTTTTTTTAACGTCTTACGTCAAATTAGTTACATTAAATTGTATCTCTCACCCAAAAATGGTGGCTATAAAATTGGTGAAGTGAAATGCTATATATAACTCTTGGATCTATTTTTTCACTACACCAATGTATTCTTACACCTCTTGATGAAAAGTGGCCGGCACCATTTTTGCTATTCTATAATATTAAAATTTTTAATTAACAGTAAGATAAGGTACAGATAAAATTTAGCAAAGTTGTTTTTGCAATACAATATAAAGTAAGAATCATTAATTTAGAATACATATGAATTAGAATACATTTAGAATAACTAGGCTTAGCATAATTGAAGTGGATAGAAATTATGCAATATAAAATGAGTTAAAACAGTTATCAGAGATTTGAAATATAATTATCCTTATTACACAGTTATAAAAACATACATACATATTAAGAGACCAATTTTACCTTCTGTTAATGCATATCAGCTTTGAAAATAACAACAAATTCTTGCGAGCTTGTAATCAAGCTTCTGACGATGTCTTACTTAGCGTTTCTCGATATACAAAGCTCGCCATGTGCCAACCTTGGAGTTTTCGAAGTGAAAATATTTCTTGTGTGACATAGGAATTTGGTGTAAGATTATTCAGTTTTAAGTGTTTAGATTAAAATTACGTCCTTTAAATCGTATATGTACACTCGATTTTTCGGTTGTTCAACATTATATTTGGAGAAATATTACGCCACAGTTTTTACAATGTAATGAGTCGAAATCACGAGATGAACTCTTTAGGGTCGCTTTCTGTTAGGTCCGAGGGGCTAATTTGCAATCCAGCAACTTTTAACAGCTTGCTCTCTTCTTTGAAGATTGGCTACGTATATCCAATTAAAATGCAAGCTTTCATTTCTTTTAAAATGTGTTACTTAAACTGAAAAAAGTCAAGAATATTTTTTTTAACTTTAAAGAAATGCCAAACAGAAAAGCGAGTCATTAAGAGCCGTTGAATGGGAAAAACGCTTCCGGGATTCATCTCGTGATCGATTGACTGACTATACATAATTTTCAACAAATGCTGTAACAATGGTCTTTTTTCAGCTTACACCGCTGTTAGAGACGTTCCTTATCTTGTTGAAAAAGTATTAGACGGAAAAATACAGTTAGAAAAGTTAATCTCTCATCGTTTGCCTCTCCACCAAATCAATGAAGGCTTTGACTTAATGAAGACTGGTGAATCGTAAGTTACAATGTGTTTTAACAATTCTGCATGAATTAATGCTTTTTATTTCATTGATGTTTATTCAGTGTTAAATTCTGATCGCTAGCACAAAACATTCATTCCACTATTATTATAACCATGCAATTGGATTCGTTTATTATTGTGCAACTTATTTTTCCAAATTCTATTTAAAACGGATGCAAATTAAACGAAACGAACACTGCATAATTAGCTTTCCCTTACAAAACAAGTCAGATGTTTTTAAAAATAACGTTGGCAAGTGTACAAAATACAGCTGGGGTCGAAAATGAGGTTATGTTCTGCACCAAAATAAACCTAATCAATTAGCTCCAATTTCAATCTCACCTACACCCAATAAAACCAACCTCATATACAACTCCGAAATATTTCTGATAATATAAATTAATCACACCTATACTATTACTATTCACTTTTTATTTCACAACTTGAGTAGTAAGAATTGTAGGATCACTCGGTGTCGAGTCACTACCATGGATGATGTTTCTTCCAACTTAGAGGCACTATGGAATTGTAGGGTCCGGATGGGATACTTTCACTGGTTTCAGGGGACAATCTCCAGCCATCTTCCTTCCTTCCATCTACATCAGCATTTCAGGCGCGACGAGGTACAAGTAGTACGGGTGGAAAATCGCCCTTCCTTCCTTCCTTCAACGTTTTTTTCACTGCCGATTTTTTTTCTCCTCCGGGGGTGATGGAAAATTTCCACGAAGCAGTCAGCCTCCGTTACGCTTAGTTCCAGAGATAGAAAATCTTAAGCTTCTTCCAAAGGTTTCCTCAGCAAGCAACTATGCTGCCGACTTGTAATATCAGGGCTACAGCCCTGTTATCAGTGTTGTATTTAGCTTGAATTAATTGCAGTCTTAAGCCATCAGACGTTCTAAAACGAAAACGAAAGAGATTTAATTCTTTTATTAATACAAAAGTATTTACTTTTTGTATTATATATATATATATATAAAAGGTAACTAACAAATCAAACACGCTTCAGTAATGCAGTAAGAACGCGCCATAAGAGATTCCTTTATTTGCTCGTGTTNTTAACACAAGCTTGATAATATATATATATATAAAATATAATATAATATATATTATATTATATTGTATAGTATATTTCTTGAAGAGCAACTTAATGTGTAGTACAATGTTTAATTTCGATGTCTTATCATTTCATTTTGCTCCAGAATCTTCTTCAATCCAAAAATATATGTTATAACTTTTAAATATTTTCAGATTAAGAGCAATCATCGATTTTGACTTGAAGGTTTAAGTAGTGTGTCTTAAATTGAGGTCTTCTTACTCGTAGAAAAGGAGTCTACCAAAAAATATTTCTGCAATGGACTTTTATTGCAATAATTTGTAAAGCAGTTCAATTTCATTTCAAAATTTAGTGCTATTTTTTTAAGCACAAATGCTATTCGAAACAAAATGTGCAAACATGTTTGATGTGATAATAACACATTATATAATAAATAACTTGTTTTAAAATTGTTATTGTTGCATATTGTTTTCAGTGATGTTGTTACCCAATTTCATAGTGTAATAAAAATCAATATTGTAAGAAAAATATGTGTTCGAATTTTGCTTTATTTACAAATTCTCAAGATTTTAATTTCAAATTCTGTGAGATTTTATTCTCACATTGAAAATTGAAAAAATATTCTGAGATTCGCCATTTTAAACGCCGTTTGCTCTAACCAAAACCATTATCTATTCTAGTGAAATGAAGAGTTTATTTGTGTGTATTTATTTCTTATAATTCCAAAATTGTTTGCACTATGATTTGGACATCGGCTGCACGCAAAAATTAGTCAGCTATCCTTAAATTAGGTTGAAATTTTCAACTAGATCGTTCGTTAGAGCATTTAGAAAAAAAAGGAATTTTCTCATTAGTTAAGCATTAGCCCTTGTTTCAAATTAAGTTATAGACTATTCTATTGATCAAATATTTTTAAGATAACATCATAGATGTTTGCTAGCTTATTGCTCTATTAGATTTAGAAAGGACGAAATTTATTGCAGGTTCCTTAATAAAATTTTCGTTATGGTAGATAAAATAAATAATCAATTTGAGCTTGATAGCATAGTCAGACTACGTCACCATAATAAATATTTAAGTTGGCTGAAACCACATGCTTATTTTGTTTATAGTTATGCTCTTATGACGTATTTCCTTGTAACTCATCAACGAAATTTGAATTTAAAAAATAAGTTATATGCCAAAGAGCAAAATAGTATTAATTCCTTTGGAGAAACGTGAAAAACAGCTTAAGAAAGACAACTTAAGGATTGCTGAATTGTCAAAAGTGAGAGTTTCCGATTTCTGAGGGAGTAGAGGAGCCGTAGAAAACTTCCATGCTATTATAGTCGGCAATAATGATTTATTAATTTTAATAATAGGCACTACTTGCATTATGGCAATTGGTGTAGTTTTAATCTGTACCAAATACGCTAATATAGGCACAAAGTATTATATTAGTATAATTGATGCTTATTAATACTGCATTAATTCTGTACAGTTTTAATATAGATACTGGGGAATGAATTTCTGCGTCCTTTCTAAAAAGATAAGTACCCGAAGAAAATTGTTTGATTGCGGTACATTTTGACTATCATGAATTGGTGTATAGCAACAGCATTATGCAAATTGATATTGATTACAATTAATCTTTATTTTAATAGAATGAGCTTCTGCAAAGATGTTTTGCTTATTCTAAAAACGTAATGCCATCTAGGGGCGACAAATAATAATAATAACTAAAAAGAGGAATTATCACAGCTCTATTAATTGAGTTAGAGCTATTGTTTAAATAAAAGAAAGTATATCTAATTACATCTGAGATACAAAATGCTTTACAAAATTCGGCTTTAAGCGCAGAAAAATTTCGAAACTAAGCATTCATGGACTAAAAATAAAGGATTTGTGTGTGAGTGTGTAAGCATCTGTCTCGCAAATGTTTTCAAAATATTAAAATATAAATAAAATATTTTTAATATTTTCGCAAAAAATTAAAAATAAGTATATGCTGTTTCAATTTTGAATACATGGGCGTTTTCGAATTCGATTATTATTTGTTTCGTAGCTATTTTGACGTATTTTTGCTCAATATTGGGAAACTTTTTTTTAGTGCTTTTTCGTGCAAATCTGATCATTAGGTCATAAGTTTTTCAGTTTGTTGCCATTTTTTACTTTGCGCACTGTAGATATATGTCAGAAATATTAAAGTTTAACACAAGCTTGATACTACCTTTATTATGGTGTAAAGTGGAATTATATTATGGTAAAAATTATATTTTTTTGAACTTGATTGCACAATAATATGTTTCAACTAGAAAGGAAACTCGGTTCAATTTTACAGATGATAAGAGTAGAAGAAAATTTGCGCAAAATAACTGCTCATGGTAATCATATTTCGGTTCAAGAACGTAAAAAATTTTTCTGAGTACATAAAAGTCCAAAAAAGTTCTGTAATTAAAAGTAATATTTCTAATATATAATGCACAAAAGATAAAATTTAGACTAACTATTTCATTGAAGTATTGCGTGTAAATTAAGTTTAAAAATAAACTTCAATCGTCCTTAAAATTATTCTTTATTATTTTATACAAAATGCACTTTTTCTTTTAATTTTATTTTAATAATTTTAATTTAATAATTTTAATTGAATACTTTTAGTAGTTCATGTACCACGCCAAAATTATTTCGTCTTATCTTTTTGAGTATAATATTAAAAATATACTGGTGTCAGTATTAACTAATTATTCGTGTAATTATAGATGAAATATTTAAAGGACAATTACATTCATCAATTAATAGATATTAAGCAGTTCGCTTTCATTATTTCTATGTGGTTAATAAGGTTTTCATTTTTGTATATAAATTGGAATGAAATTTAAACAATGAAGAAGTCGCAAAATATTTTTAATTTTTATTTTTATTGCATATTTATTGCATCATTGAATACAAAATACCAATTTTCTATAACGTAACGTTTCGTCCATATAAAAAAAACTTTATTTTTTTTTTGCTTGTCTTGATTTTAAATATAATTTATAAAATATAAGGGGATTTTCATATTTGTAACATAGAATTCGAAATCCTTTGTCAGTCTACTCACTACCCACAGTTGTTTTCCCTTTTTTTATTCATTCTTTTATTATTTATCAGTTCTTAAGAAATTAACAGATACAATAATATTTTTTGATAAAGTAATAAAGTATAGGGAATTCAATCCTCGTTAATATTTCTACTATTTGTCCAAAAAGTTTTATTTCATGTTTTCCATGCACATAAATTATTTTAATGAATTAAACAGGTTGATCACAAAAACAAATAATAAATATGGCATACTGATGAAGTTTATTTGTATAAAAGAATTACTTTTCAAGAACAATATGAAAATAAAAGTTATAAATTAGGATATAATTACTTTGTTTTAAGATCAGGAAATTAAATATAAATTTGAACTTCAGAAAATTACTTGAATAAGATAAGAAGAAGGGATAAGTCGTTCAGTGATCATATGAAATCTTGAACTTTTAACAGGACGTGAAAAACAGATACCAATGCGTTTCCAAACATAAGATAAAAAAAGAAAGGAAAGATAATTGATCAATGATAAGTAGTGATTAAAAGTTAGAATATTACTCTTGGAATTAAATCGAAAGCTTTCATCTTCATCTCTCCAATCTGTCAAAGGTAATTAAAAATGCACTTTCATGTAAAATATAAAACATACAGAAGAAGGTACCCACTTCTTTTTAAATCTGTTAAGTGGCATCATATGACCAAAGTTTCAGACTTTTTCAAAATTGAGGAAATAATTTATTAAATGACATATTGGCATCTTATTTTAAAGTTTGAAACAATTCCAAATGGGTTGAAAATTGTTTAATGAAAACAAATATTTAAAAAATAATTTTAAAAATAAATTATTGTTTACACTAATGAAAAATTTCATTAATGCGATATTCATAATTTAAATTAGATTCATTTCTGTTACCTTTTGTGAGATCTCTTTCATGGATACACTGTAAAAACTTAGATGTATAGCTGCCACCATTTTAGATGTCGAGGTAAACTAAAATTTTTAACAGTACACGTAGTAGCATTTCTTGTTTACATTTTCACTATTATAATTTTCCTTATTTATTTATTCACTTTTTGCTTATATGTTAACTGACTACACACATATTCATGCTCATTAGAATCAATTCAATGCAAAAATGTATTTAGTTTCTCAGCAGCGAAAATGGTGGCAACCAAACACCACAATTTTTTACAGTGTAATAAAGAAAGAGTTGATGAATTTTTTAACCAATTAAAATATAATTTTAGGATATTTAATTAAAATTAATCTTTTTAACACTTTTAGAAAATATTGTCAAAATAAACAAAATTGAGGCTTAATTAAGTATTAATTAAGCGAAAGACATTTGTTTTCTCCTTTTAAAAACTTGACAAAATAATTTTTTTTCCATGTTAAGTAACTTTTATTTCCATTTTTCGACTTTTTATAATCATTCTGTTATTTCATTTACTCAGAAATTGTGTCAGTTAAAACCAAAGGAAAATAAATTTTTTAAATGTATTTCTTTATTTAAATTGTCTAAGAATTTAGAGAATTCTAAGCAAATTATGCAGTAATTAACTGACATTTTAGTGAATTACATATCAGTTAACTAATCTGTGATCTTTTAGACGGTAACCTTTTTTTTAATTTTAAACTTAAATATAAATATGGCGTTCACCTTTTCGTAACTTAAATATATTCGTATTTAATATCTGTTTTATATATGTAAAATGTTCATTGGCACCGTTAGAATTTTTCTATTAAAACTGCATCGAAATAACCGCCACCAGTCTGTCCCTTCTATTAACAATAAAGCTTAAGGCAAGGAACAGTTTTTTACATTTACGGTAATGAAACCGCTTACCACTGATATGGTTAAAGAAACATGAATAAAAAAAACTGTTCGATTTTGCAACCAGTTAAAACTAGCATAGTTTAAAAAATCAACAAAAAAATTTTAACTGGTCATTGGATTTAGGTAGTAGTTGTGTTTTTTCAAGTGGAGCGTAGAATATGGATCAATTAGTTTATCTAATTATGCCATTTATCGTGAGAGATGTAAAACACTATACTTTTTTTTGTTGGACAGTTCAGTTGTGCTGCCACCAATGCGTGAATAAGTTTGTATTTCAATAATCCAGAGTCACTGATGGAAGGATGCAGAACATTGGAGGGGTGCAGAACATTTGCCGAAAGAATGAAGGGAATATTTTTGTCTTAACAAACGTGATGCGAACCTCCGTTTAACAAGTCGAGAGATCGACAAATTTGCTCTTCCGGTTAAAGTATGAAAGCTGCAATCTGCACTGACTTTATAATGTGTTCACCAGACATTCATTACTATAAGCTTATTAGGCATCCGCTATTGTGTTAGGCATTCGATGATGGAAAATAAAAATAGAAATTCGTAATCTTTATCACAATTGGCTTAGCTTCCAGCTTCCGTAGAGCGTGAACTAGATTCTCATTGGCTGTGTGTCTGATTGGAGTGAAAAAAATTCTAATTGCTGAAATGTATATGGTAAAAATAATCAATAAATGATTTTTTTTTTCAGAGTTAACAATTTGAATACCACCATAGTATGGTTATTTGACTGTTTCGATAACGATTAAATAAATTGTTATTTAACTATTTTTCCAAAACATTCTGTGTGCGAATGAATATTTTAAACAAAAATTTGCATTACTTTTATTAATTAGGCAGCTAATTTAAATTTAACCTTCCTTTCAGGATTTTTGAGTGAAAATGGATACAGTTGGCAAGGTAAGATTTTTTTTTATTTCTTTACAATCTGAATTCCCGTCCTTTGTATGGGGTCAGTAATAAAAAGAGTAAAATCAATAAATTTGCACTGAACAACATTACAGAATCATACACAAAACTGAAAGTCATATATCGAAACAATTGAAGAGCTTAGTGGAAGAACCAGGTAAGTGACATTTTTAGGAGTATTCATGAGTCAGTGAAAATGACATAAAGTGGTTGCATCAATATGGGTGTGTTTAATGTAACATAAAGGCTTTTGTTTTCACTTTTATCTTAACATAACTGAGCTGCATTAGTTTTTCGCATGTTTGCATGATTTTTATTTCAAATTATGAAAAGGTTAATAAAATGAGACAAAAAATGTTAAGTTCAGCGTTTTAATAAATCGGTAATAAAATTGTTTGGATTCAACTTTTATTCTTTTCTTGATTATAATCTTTCTGAAAATGTCATCACCTGATTTATCCACTAAGCTTTTCAATTAATAAGATAAAAATTTCAATATTTTTATTTATAATCATTTATGTCCTTCCGGTGGCTTTACGTTATTCTATCAAGGGTATAAAATATAACGTATAATAATATTATATATATGTAATAGTAGGGGAGAGTGGGGTCAATTGTAACATTTTTTACTTAACTATTTTTAACTAAAAAAAAATCCAATATATTATTAGTATTAATTGACAGACGAGTAAAGTAGACTATCCTCTACTAGAAAGAAAAATAAATACCTTATTTTAAATGTTATTATATTAGTTATTAACAATTTTTGACAGTCGTGCACTTGTTACAATTGTCCCCACTTACGGGGTCAATTGTAACAGTTCATAAATTCAACTAAAACATAGTTAATTATACGTATTATCATAGTTGTGATACATTTTTTATTGATCAAAATAGTAGTGATATTTTAGGAGTAAAAATAATAATGAGTAGAGACCTAAAGAGTTAAACTTTTAACTTTAAGGGGTTAAAAATTTTAATTTATGCTGTGAAAGGTGACAAATAAAATAATGCACATGCAACATAATATAAATGATATAGGAAACTATTGGTGGTTCTTAAAGAGTTAAGTAATGGTTTGTAAACATAAGATTATTTATTTTCAGCTGTTACAATCGTTCCTTTACTTATTGTTACAATCGTCCCCAAGACGCCATTTCAGCTTCATTTCTTAAAAACAATGCTAGTTAATTAACAAAACTAATCTTTTTTATTGAAATGTTAATTAAGGTGTCCACTTACATATTAGGTTAATAATTTTTATTTGTTTAAACAGAATTACTTTGTTACAATTTAATATTCTAATACCAAAAAAAAGTTCTTACGTAGAGTGAAAATATCTTTTGTGATGTAACTCTTTCAAAAGTACATAAAAATGGTTGGCAGCAGGGGTGTACATGTAGATTTATTAAATACACCTTGTGCGCCATCTAGGAACCAAATCTAGATCCCGACACTCGAAACTTTTGCTCTGTTACAATCGTACCCTGTTACAATTGACCCCACTCTCCCCTATACTTTATTATATCAAACAACGTTCTTTGTAGTTCATCCTATCAAAAGAGAAGTCACTTGGGGAGATGATATTGTTCGTGGGCAACTTAAGGTAGACAAAATTAACCACTATCAAGTAATTTTCTCGGTTTATATCCCTTTGAAGGTGTCGTAAAACACTTATTTACACAGTATAAGTAACTGCTTATCATTGGTGCAATAAATATAAAATATCTCCAAATATATCAACTTAATATTTTATATCTATTTTAGCATATTTGATATTTATTACATAACATTTGAGTTTTGTACGATATGCATTTTATCAGTGGCAGCAAAAGAAATCAGAAATTATAAAAACAAATAGAATTCTTATAAGACCTTGATAAGGACAGCTACCAAAGTATAATGAATTGAGTTCTCGTTTTAATTTAATCACAATATTTGTTTTCCGCAAAAAAAAATGAATTAACTCCTCGTTAAGAGTATAAGTACTGCATTCTACACAATTAATCTTGAAAAATTATGTATAAAATAAAAACTCACTTGACAATTTGCACAATTTTCTAGGACAATTGATAAATTCAGTCTTCTTAAATACGTTCTTCTTAAAACACTATTCTAAAAAACATATACTCTTTTCTAAGCTTTACAACTTTATAGATTAAATTTTTACTTCATAAACTAAGAAATTTCCACCTGCTTCAACAGAATTCAATTAATTTTTAATCCACACCGCTGCCAAAATATGAAAGTTAATTTAACATTATGTATTGTAAAAAAAATACTAACCACAGCGAATATTTTAAAACCAACTGAAAATGGCAGCAAGCGATTTCAGTTAGCAGAAATCGTTTCGATTGGTTAAATGGCGCACGTGACTAAAAAGAACCGATTTCATAGCAAAAAGTGATTTTATTTATTCTTAAGACAACTATGTGTAAAAAATTGCTTCAAAAGTTGCGATAAAAATTACAACAAATTTTTACAGTGTATTCAGATAGTAAATGTTATGGATATAATTATTTAACAAAAAAGTTTTAAATTTTTTTGCACCTCAACCTGATTTTTATTTTTTAAAAAAAGCATGACTCTTAGAAACTTCATATTTTCCAACTATATTTCACTCTTAAAACAGTTGTCTTAACATTGAAGCGCATAGGTACTTAGAAACTTAACAGTGTGCACAAGAAGTTCGAAAATATGGTTCAGGTTATTATAAAGATATAGAACCATTTTTCGGTTAATCCTGCTCGAAATTTTTCAACTATGTAGCTGACGAAATAGAATTCGCGTCCATGATATGCTTTAACCTCCATGTTCTCAGAACGCGATATTTTTACAAATTTAGTACTGTCTTAAAGCTAAATCGAATTCAAACTATAATTAAAATGGAAAATTAATATATGAAATGGCTAACCTTTACTTCCTTTTTTTAATAATATGCAATTATTTATATTTGAGCAGACTATCACATGCCGAGCTGCTGTGGTTTGGAAAAAGAGGCAACCGTATTCCATTGAGACTGTTGTAGTAGATGTTCCCAAAAAAGGAGAAGTTCGAGTGAAAGTATGTTTCTAATGTTTTTCACTTTACTATATATTCCATTTTGTTATAATAAATCTCTTTCATTTTGTTATTTTTCTCTTTTTTTTAATTATTTGATAAGAATTTTCAAACTAAAGTTTGCCCCTGAGTGAACTTATCGTAAAAATAAGAAGTAATTATAAATTACAGTGTTGCTGAATATCAAAAATGATGGCAGCTACTTCACACCAAGTAGTGTGAAAAAATATTCTCTGGGTTTCACTACACCAGAAACTATTCTTGGTTTTTGGTGAAGCGAATGCTACAACAAACTTCCAGATGAGTTAGGGCACATCATCAGGATTAAAACTGTATAGGAGCCCTTGTTCGTAATTGTCTTTGTGCACTGGTGGAGTACATTTCTATTATGACCTGTTCAGAAAATTTTAAACTTGATGATATGACCTAAACTATTCTAGAAGTTACGCGACCCCAGTTAAGTATGACGTTTTTAAACTTGTGCATTTCGACAAAAAAATATTAAAAATGTCATTGAAAAACTGTAGTTTGGAGAAGGAAATTGATCAATGATTTGAAATCAGTGGTATGAAAGTAATTAAGATATGTTAAAAGAAAATCTCAAGCATTAAAAAGTAGCAAAAAAATTGCTTCCTAATGTATATATTTATCGGTTAATACCGTTATGACTTTTATTTATTTAATGCCAAAGATGTCTGAATCTTCTTTGTTTACAAATGACTATATATTATTTTTTGGTCTAGTTAGAATAGACGAAACGGTAAGTTTACTATAGTTTTCTTCGAAATTGGGAAAAAGTGCCTAATATACGATAGTTTCCTAAGATAGGATAGTTCCCTAACATACAATACGTCTATTGCAGTCACAGGAAATGATAAGACAATAATTGTTTCTTATGGCGTGGAGGAAAATTGCCTAATATATAGATAGTTTTCCAAAATTCAATGCACCTATTCTGCTGTGCGATAGAAAAATCATCGTGAGTGACAAAAAATACAAAATTGAGATTCTTATATTTGTGATATTTTTACGTGATATGATACATATTACGAAAAATAATTTTACGAAATTTTGCTTCATTACTTTTCAGAAATTTTATTTCAGCGTTCATTATATTAGCATTAGAAATGATTGTTAAGCCACTTTTTTCGAAACCCATCGAAAAACACTTTCTTTGCCTTTCCAATTTCATGGCAGAATATTAGCCTAAAGAAAGATGAACTCAACCAAAAACAATTTAAATCAAGGTTATGTGACAATGAAAAAACAGAAGCATTTTATTACATGTAGTTCGGGCAGGGAGAGTTTTGAAGTTCGTCAGTAAACGGATTTTTTTAGTCAAATCAACACCTCCTAGAAAAAATAAGGCCTTCACAGGGATCAATTTAGTAGTTCGACGTAACGAACATAAACTGCGCAGTGGAGGTCAAATAAAAAGAAATCACTACATCCGGGCTACTAAGCTGAGCAGTGGGAAATTTTGTGTTAGAGCTATTGCATACGTTTGGACTACTAAAGGATCAAATTTCTTGTTTATTGTAACCCATGTTGAGGCCTTCACTTTTCTAGGAGGTATTAGTTAAATGCAAGTGAATATTATGTAATTTTTATTTGTTCTTTTTATCCCGAAAATCGTCGAAATATGAGAATTGTTCTTGATAATAACGATTACAGCTTGTATAATTAATTTGTTTTAATGATATCTTCCCACTCCCTGTATGAGAAACTATCTAGTGTTAGTAACCTTTCTAATAAATGGACATATTTATTATATTGCTTCTTTAAATCCATGCATTTAAAACTAGAAATGTTAACCAATATTCCATTCAAGTTTGTCTTTTCACAGTTGGCATCAGTTGGTATTTGTCATTCCGATCTTCATGCACAAATGGGATGCGAAGAAAATCATCCATTTCCAACTATCTTAGGGCATGAAGGTGCAGGAATTGTTGAGAGTGTAGGAGAGGACGTGGAACGTTTCAAACCAGGCAAGTTTGAAACTACTTCAAACAAATGTTTTAAATCTTATAGCAAACAATAAAAAATATTGGTTGTAATTAAAAACAATTATTACATTTTTCTTTGAAGGGGACCTAATCGTGTTTACATTTGAATCTTACTGTGGCGATTGTGATTTATGTCAGAGTCCAAAAGCTAAAAACTGCAGAAAAACTACGGTAAAAAGTCTTATTTGTTTTTTATCTCGGATTATTTAAGCTTCTGAAGTGACAAACAGCTATTTCCAAAGTCCATGAATCCAATAATTTTGCATTTTCATAAAATTTTTTTTCATCTCAATTACCGTTAATTTCAAATGATTTATTTTTATAGAAATACAGTTTAAAAGAATTGCTATAAGCAAAATAAGCATGCGGTATATCAGATAACTTCAGATATATTAATTTGGTGACATAACAAACGAATGCTTAAACACTAACGTTGCTCATTGAATCATTGAATATATCTGACGCTAGCGAATAAAAATTATTTAAATATTAAACTACTTACAACAAACCTTTTTTTTTTTTAAAAAAATAGCGCTCCAAACAAGCAAATATCACTGATGATATTTTGAAAATATTTAAAAAATTCAATTATCTATGGTCACATTTAAAACAATGGTTAGCACGCAGCCAATCCGAAAATTCCATTTTGTTTTGGGTTATACCGAACGGTTAGTCTTAAAATGTTTTACTGCCAACAGTGATTTTCTTCTTGATTCGAACTATTTGTATGCTAAATTTCATCGCTTTTGATGAGATGGCGTAGGAGTCTATAAAGAACACACACACGGACAGACATTCATTTTTATATATAAAAGTTTTCTCAAATGTTATGTAATTTCATGATACTTTTAACTACTTACTTCCGTAATATATTAATCTAGTATGCTTGAACTAGTTGTAATTTTAAAGCGATTTTTTCGCAATGTGAAAAATGAAGAGCTTGCATATTAATAGCTAATTTACTTTTAGTCATTGAATGCACTTTATATACAAATTTGTCTTATATCATGAATTAATAAATACATTTTTGCTTACTAATATAAAAAAATTACATCTATTTTCAGAGAAATAGTTTTCATATGGATGGCACATCACGAGTTTCAGCTAAAGAAAAAGCTCTAAGTCAACTAAATGCTTTGGGATTATTTTCTGAATATACCGTAACTTCCCAATATAACATTACAAAAGTATGTTGAATAAAGTAAATTTTCTTTATCTTCATTCAATCTTTTTTCAACTTTTGTAATTTTTTTAAAAATAATTTAAATTTCGTTACTATTTCTAATCGTCAAAAAATTTGGAAAAACCTGCCAATGTTTTATAAACAACACATTATTTTCTTTAAGAAAAATACTTCCGACTTTTTCAAAATTGTTCTAAGGTTTAAGAAAAATTTATTCTCAAACTGATACTCTGACTTGAAAGATATATGCTCGACGTAACGATTTTATGTAAAGATGACAGAAAATAGAATTTTACTGCTTGCTGTGTTCTGCTTAGGAAAGAAAAACTAGTACTTTTTTTTCTAACCAAGTTCTTAAGTATATAGTGCTGCTGACAAGAAAAACTGTAGATAATATTTTCCACTGAACGCCAACCATTGAAACTTGATAAAAAATGCATTATTGATATCCTTAACAGAATGCAACAAAGCGTACACTTCTATCCTTCTTCTATTTTTCTTAAATTGATATTTCAATTAAAGATGATATTCAATTATTTTGACCACGAAATATTTCAAAAGTATTCTTATGTTTTTTAACAATTTTACATATTTTTTTATTGCAGCATGATAAATTAAGAATAAAAGAACAAGAATCATATTTCTTTATAATGTTATATTGGTATTCATACAGTAATTTAGCACTAATTGATGTATTAAAATTCAATAATACCAAAATCAATATATGTATATATAATATCTGTAGTAAGAACGTCACCTTAAAACAAAACCCCTCTAGTTACACATCAATTTGCGCTTTTGTTTTCATATTTTGTAATCTGGCAATCTTGTTGCGAAAACATTTTTAAATCATTCTTGAAAAATTTCCCGTTCATGTAAGTACATCTGATTTCGCTACTCGCTTTATAGTTTTTGTTTTATACTGCTTTTTCTTTTCTTTTTCTTTATTTTCTGTTTTTACGTGTTATTTTTACTTATTGTGTTCTATTTTATTAGTTGTAATTTTTGTAAAAAGTTTTTTTGAGTGCTCCTCACACTATTGTATTAATATATTTTGCTTTGGCTACATTGATACAATATCATAAAGCACTCTTTTTTGCGGATATAATCGTGTGGGCTGATGAAAAGATTANGCTGTGCAATTTGCTTTTTACTTAAGAAGGTTGTGCATCCCTATTCGATATCCTTTATTTGAAATGAAATTTTGTTTACTTGTATACTTTTTACTTATATACATTTACTTTTTATACTTATAAATTTTGTTTACTTGAAATTTTGTTTACTTTATAATTCAATATGTAGTTATCATTAATTTGAACTATGCATTATTAATGTTCTTATATATATATATATATATAAAATTTCTACTAGTTAATTTTTTTAGTCCTTGCTTTTTATAATCATACCTCGGGGGAGGTGAGGTACTGAATTGGAGATTGATCGTACTCTGATTCCGTTCGAAATTGGAATCTATGGATGAATGAATGGGTCCTCCCAATAAAGGGGATGTGATCTAAGCGTGTGGCAAAAGTTGAATTCTTGGATACAGATAGTGCCATTGGAAAGCAAGAAGAAGCGCACCCCCTTCGCCTTAACGGCATACGACGACAACAACACCAACATTGCCTTTTCCCTAGTGTTTGATCAAGGAAGAAATCCAAAGTTTGGACCCTTTAATCTAAATTTTACTTTTTGCGTATTTCTCCATATCTTGAGAATCTTTTAAGCAAAGTAAAAAAAATTTGCACACAATTATAAAATTCATTTACCCAAAGATAATTCCATGCAGAAAATAAATTTCAGTGAATATTTAATTTTTATTATCTTATTTAATAAAAGCCAAGAAAATCTACATTAATTTTAACTAACATAGCTATTTTTTTTTCAGGTAAATCCTGCTGCCGATCAAAAAATATTGTGTCTAGCGGGATGCTGTCTTCCAACTGGATATGGGGCTGCCGTAAATGCAGGAAAGGTGACACCAGGATCGACGTGTGCCGTTTGGGGTCTTGGAGGAGTTGGAATGTGTGTCATCATGGGATGTCATGACAGTGGAGCCTCGAAAATTATTGGAATAGATCCTAATCCTAAGAAATTTCAATTAGGTATGGTTCATGTTCCATTATCTGGAATTGGGTGTTACATAGAGTATGAGTCTGATACTCGCATGAATAGTATAAGATTAAAAAACATCCGTCATTCATATAAACTTCATTCATCCACCCTTTATTCATATATTTAGTAGTAAATTATCTCAGTTCCATCTAGACATCACAAGAAAATATACAATATTGATCAGCGTTGCGCAGGGAAATATACTCTGTCCTAATTGCTGTTTACTTTTCTAACGTGATTTCCCCATCAATTTGTTTCATTTAAATAGAAACAGTATTGAATCGTCTAAGTTTAATAATACTGTGGTTTAAATTGTAGAAATATATTAAGACCTTATTTGCATTCAAGACCAATGAGTAACGTAATGCTCCTTTCTGCAGAGAGTTTAAACCGGACTTGGTACATATAAATACAGTTCAAGCTAATATAAATATCATTTTAAATCTTGAGGGAAAAACGTCATTCATACACCCTTTATTCATATATTTTGTTGTAAATTATCTCAGTTTCATCTAGACGTCACAAGAAAATATATAGTATTACGCAGGGATCAGCATTGCGCACTTAAATATACTTTGCCCTAATTGCTGTCTACTTTTCTAACGTGATTTCTCCACTAATTTGTTTAATTTAAAGAGAAGTAGCATTGAATCGTCTAAGTTGAGTAAGACTGTGGTTTAAATTGTAAAAATATATTAACACCTTATTTGTATTCCAGACCAATGAGTAACGTAATGCTTTTTTCTGTAGAGAGCGTGAACCGGACTTAGTACATATAAATGCAGTTCAAGTTAATATAAATATCATTTTAAATCTTGAAAGAAAAAAACACTTTACCTGTTCGAAATTGTTTTTGCATGGAGTTGTTTGCATTCAAGACCGAATCTTATGTTTCAAGAAATATAAAATTAAACTCCTGAACATCATTCAAACTTATTTCAAGTTTCATTCTTTAAGTTTAATTGACAATACCGAATTAAATTCGCATACAAATAGTATTTTCATCAAATCATTATGCCACGATTCAACAGCTAATCAGATTCGACGCAGGTGCATGACGCCACCTGTATGTATCTTATTAAATCTGATGAAAACTGATTTAGCATTATAATAAACCAAGTTTAATAAGTCGCCAAGTACAACCAAGTGATTAAGTCAAACCATTTTATTTAAGCGGTAAGCTTTTTCTATATTTACAAGTACCCAATTCTATAAGAAAAATTTTTAAGTTAATTACCATCCATATAGCTTCTGAAGTATTACTTAATGTAACATTTGGTAAATGCGCTTACAAGTAATCGCTTATAAGTAATCCCTTACAAGTAATCGTTTACAAGAAGGTAACTAGTAATTCGTCTACTAGTAATGCTGAAATTAGTAACATTTAATGAACTTGATAAATAAAATAAATCTTTAAACGTAGAATTGTGAAAAATGAAACATTAGATATCATTTGATCAAAAAATAGCATTTCATAAGAACTAATAAAATGCTACATAGATAGTCCAGATACAAATAACATACACCAAAAAGCCATTACATTATGATGACCACCCTGCTAATAACATGTAGGACCACCTTTAGTCCTCAAAACTGCTAGCACCCGCAGTGACATTGATTCCACAAGGTGCTGATAGGTAGTTTGAGGTATCTGATAGCAAGCGCTCACCAACTGGTCCTGCAATTCCCTCACATTGCGAGCGTGGCAGCACGAATTTGGTTTTCCAAGTAGGATCACAAATGCTCTATTGGATTAAGGTCAGGTGAATTTAGGGGCCAAGACATGACTTGAAAGTTACTGGGAAGATCCTCGAACCAATCCATACGATTCGACCCTGTTGGTAAGCACCATCCCCCGTAGGAAAAACTGTTGCCATGAATGGGTGAACTTAGTCTGCAATTATGTTCAAGTAGCTTACAGACGTCAGGCATTGTTCTATGAGGATTATGGGTCCTAATGTGCCCCATGAAAACATTGTTCCTGGGCGAGAAACCATGAAAACCTGGGCAAGCCCATTGTTATAGATGGAGGGTGGTCATAATGTAATGGCTCTTCGGTGTACACGGTAATGTAAAACATACCCGGGTGTTGAATAGCTCAGTGTATGAATGGTTCTACAGATATACTACAGTTTGCATTTGCATTTTGATGTGCATTTTTGGTGAAATTTATTTATAAATATGATTTTTTGCTTTAGCGGAAGGATTCGGAGCGACTCATTTTTTGAATCCTAAAGAAGTGACAAGCGTACCTGAAACCTTGGCCCATATGTGCAAGGATGGGGTAGACTACTGCTTCGTGTCAGTAGGAAATCTTTCTGCTATGGTAAAATATAACTACTCACTTCATTTCGGTAGATTTTTGTTCGAATTTAAATTTTTATATTTTAGGAAAAATATTTTCTTGCACTTAAAAATACTCTTGATATTATTAATAAAGAGAAAGGGAAAATTTGTGTAAAATTTGAACGGTGTACTAAAAAAAAAGTGTCAGTTTTGTTCTTTAACTTAGGAAAGTTAAAATAAAATTATTCATTACATATTAAGAAAACTTTTGTTTATTCATTGGAACTCATTTATTTGCCGCTTTATCAACACAAATATAATCGCCTTGTAATTAACTCAAATGAATTAACTTGGTATAAACTCAAATTAATTACCTCAAAAATCAAACCAAATTAAATACCTCGGTATTAACTCAAAATAACTGCCTCAGTATCAACTCTAAATATTTACCTACCTCAGTATCAACTCACATAAATCAATTACCTCGGTATCAACTCAAATTAATTGCCTCAACATCAACACAAATTAATCACTTTGGCCGTAATCAAAATGACTAAATTTAACAGCAAACACGACACGATTTTCAGTTAAAACGCGATACTAAAAAAGAACCATTTTTTTTAATTAAAAGCTGCGTCAAACACATAGATTTCATCTATTAAAAATATTTTTAGCATTTTTAACGCATTGTACTGTATACATTTTTAAAAAAATTACAAATAAAAAATAATGCTCAGAAAAAAATTGACCCATGCATTTTTAAATATTAGAAATGTTCAATCTTGTTATACCATAATATTTTTCAAACTTCCCAGAAAAAAGTGCCAAGTATAATAGTCTCTATAATACAATTAACAATTGTTGTCATACAGTTTAATCCGTCTCAATGTTCTGCTTAGCTAAAACTTAACTAACTTAAATTTTAGCTGATTTTCAACTTAAAATTTTATTAAGTTAAGTTGAACCTTATAAAAGTTTTTTCACGATATTTTGGTTCAACGTCGACTCTATTTTTTTGATAGTTAAAAGTAAAAAAAATTTAAAAATTTTCAAAAAAAAATTTGTCATTCAGGAATTGTAATTTATTCCTTAACTACTAAAGTAACTATACATTAATTCTTTCATAAGCAAAATGTACACTGAGAAAGAAATTTATGGTCAAAATTAACAGAATACGGTACAGTTTACAATGCCTCTGTCTCTATGGGAACACCAAAAAATTCGGTATAATTTTTACTGAAACACTTTGATAATGATTTTTGGTAAAATTGACAATGAAATATGGTTTCATAATATGTGATAAAATATGACTTTATAATATGTGTGCTTTAAAATATGGTTAATGTAATTTTATCGTGGTATCTTTCATCCTGGCATAAAAACCATTTATTCGGTAAAATTTATTTTTCAATTTAAAATTGTTTACTAAACGTGTGGTTATCCTTCCTTCCTTCCTCAATGGCACGGCAGCCTCGGGTGGGCCTGGCTTTCTCTATCAACTTCCTCCAGGCCTGCCTCCGCCTGGCAGTTGTCTTCCAGTTTGAGACTTTTAAGACTGAAAAGTCTCTTTCCACGCAGTCGGCCCATCTAAGCTTTGGTCGACCTCTGGGCCTTGATCCGATGGGCTGAGCCAAAAAGATTATGTTTGTCGAACGCTCACTGTTCATTCGAATGATGTGACCAGCCCATTTAATTCTTTGGATTTTTACATACTTGACAACATCAGGCTCTCTAAAAGCCCGATAGATTTCTGAGTTTGAACGTCTGTACCAAGTACCATCAACTTGTTTGCCCCCAAAAATGGATCTTAGGATCCGACGTTCGAAGATTCCCAAGGAATTCTCATCTTTCTCTGTTGTTGTCCAAGTTTCTGAGGCATATGTTAGGATAGGTCTGATTAAGCATTTATAAATTAACAGTTTAGTATCTCTTTTTAGTAGGTTTGATTTTAAATATTTTTTTAATCCATAAAAACATTTACTTGCACTATTGATTCTTCTTTGTATTTCGGGTGCGATGTTGCCATTAACGTTGACTTCAGAACCAAGATAAAAAAAACTGTTTACTTTTTCAAACTTGTATTCACCAATTTGCAAGTGAGTGGTAGAATCAGTTATTTTGGTGCATTGCATATACTTGGTTTTCTCCTGGTTAATAGTGAGATGCATTTTTTTCTGCCTCTTTTTCCATGGATAGAAAAGCTTGCTTTAAGTCAGATTGTGTTCGCGCTATGATGTCAATGTCATCGGCAAATGTGAAAATTTGTACAGACTTATGAAAGATATGTCCTCTGTCCGTGTGGTTATAAGAACTATAAATTTGAAAAACTGAATTTTCGGTAAACCATTACCATAAGAACGGAAAAATTATAAAATGAATAGTTTAAATATCATATATTATTACCACAATTATGTGGGGTTCTTTCTTTTACCAGAAATGCCATAATCATGCAGAAGAGTAATTTTGCCAGAATTTTTTCACATGTAAAATTACGATTTTTTATTTTTACAGGAAGAAGCTTTTAATTCCAGCCATCCATACTGGGGCAAAACCATTATTATTGGTCTGGGTGAAACTGGCGCTACTGTGAATGTTGGTGTATGGAATTTACTGTATGGTCGACAACTTATGGGAACACGTTATGGGTGTAAGTACTGAATTTCAATATCATATATTTATGGTTCCCGCTAACCTTATAATGTGTACGCGGAAAAAAATAATTTAAAAAAATACAAAATACATTTTTTTTGGTCTAAATACATTTTTACAATTTATAAAATTTTAATCAAATTGTTAATTAATATTGTTTCAAATATAAATTCAAATATTTAAGTCGAAATTATTTAACTCAATATTATTAAACAGGAGGTAGGAAAATAATTTATCCAATACTACACTAATTCAAATTGGAACAGCGCACAAGGCAGATAAAACAAAATTCAGATTATATAAACTAGTATAAAAATATAAAATTATTTAAAAATGATTTTTAAAAAAATTTAAAATAATTGTAAAAATATTTAAATAAAATTGTGTGTTTACAGAGCAGCACTTCATCAGGGGACACACCTCGGGGCACTGTTAGTTTTGGCTTTGCCACTAGCAACAGAAAGGCTCCTGTGTGTTTGCAGACAGTGTGTCCCCTGATGAAGTGCTGCTCTGACACAATTTTATTTTTATTTTTACACACAATTTTATTTTTATTTTTTTACAATTGTTTTAAATTTTTTTAAAATCATTTTTAAGTAATTTTATATTTTTATACTAGTTAATATTGTTTCCCCATAAAATTCCAGAATTTTCGCTAGACTTCAGAACAATGCACTGAAATATCTCATTACTTAAGGATATTAAGGTGTTTTTCCCCAATATTTCCCCAATATTCCCTATTATTAACCAGTCAAAAAATCTCTCTTCTCAATATTTTAACAATATGAATTATTATTATTTTCCTCCGATCCCTTCATACATAACTTATAGCCGATAGTTGAGATATTATGATGCATATTTAGTCTTTAATAATTCTATTAGTCATGACCGGCTGTGCTCCGAAATTTTAACTATATCACGACGAAAAGAAATCTTGTAATATTACCTTGCTGTATGGTAGTAACATTTTTGGTAATAAAAAATATAAGTAATTCTGGCTAATAAAAATCTGGTGCTTAAACAATTCATTAGGAAATTTTTTCGATCATATAATGACGGTTTACCGGTAATTCAGGTTTTTAAAATTATGGCTCTTATTTGCCACAAATTTAGTAAAAAATACGAAATTGGAAAGAAAACTTAACCGAATAAAGGGTTTGTATGCCGTGCTGTAAAGAATTCTGATTTTACCACATTTGCCAAATTTTATCACTGATTAAAAAACCATACTTTATTGTTAGTTTTGCCAAAATCATTACCAAAGCGCTTCGGTAAATGTAGTTGAGTATTTTGGTTTTCCCATAGAACCAGAAACACGGTAAATTACCATAATCTGGTAATTTTAACCTTATTTTTTTCTCAGTGTACATTCAAATGTTTTCTTATTCTGTATTTTGAGGCAGAAAAAACTTATGGAACAGAAACCATTGTATGTCTATTTTTGTGTTTTATTTCTTGTAAAAAATCATTCCTTATGAATAATTGCTTTTTCTTATTTTGATGATTTCTTTTTAATATTTAACTTTAATTTTTTGCAGCATATAAAGCAGTTCGCGATATTCCTGAGTTAGTTGAAAAAGTTGTTAGCGGAAAGATACAGTTAGAAAAGCTTATCACTCATCGTTTGCCTCTAGACAAAATAAATGAAGGTTTTGAATTGATGAAAACTGGAGAATCGTAAGTTAGATAGCGCATCCAAGATACAATTTTATTTATTATGCTTTAGCTTATGTTTCATTGACACCGTCATTGATAACTCCAATTACATCAGATTTACGAAAAGGCTCACTGTTCAACGCTGACTGATCGTTATATCGTAGAAAATGTGAGAAAAATTAAAGTAATTCCGTTCTCTCTCTCTTTTTCAGAATATGCTACAATCACCTCCGTTAACATAAACTGCTAAAAAAAATCTGGTAAAATTTACTGTCTTATACCGCCAACTAGTATGTTGATTGCGTAAAACCGTAAAATGTAGGTAATAAATCCGTTGCTTCAATGGTGGTTTTTTACAATACAAGAATATGTTTCTTTCCGTAAAGATTATAAAGAAAATCTGTAATCAGAGTTTTTTACCACCGAACTAGTTTTTACATCAAAAACAAATCTGTTGTCTCAACAAACTTGTATCATATGAAAACAAATTTTTTTCTCTATGTAAGTTACGAATTAAATCTGTACTCGCTCTAGATGTGAATATTTCATGTCAACAGAATTTGTATCGACCAATCATCACAAGGATTCAATCCTGAGTCACGCGAGTTTAATCTCTTGAGTCACTGCGGTTTGAGTGTTTCATTATGAAGAAATCGTGATAGTAAGAATTTCGCGTCAATTGTCAAATTTGTCAAATTCGAATCGCAATTTTATTTATACATTGCCCAAAACCATAAAGTAATTGCCAAAAAGTAAGAGTATGTGAAGAAAGTAATCGGAAAATGAATGGAGAAAAGATAAACTTATATTACGAAATCATAACTAGATATAACTAGAACGCATGACAAAAACTAGAATTTCAACTAATGGTCTTATTCCGTTAGTGATCTGGTGAAAGACTGTGAAAAACCATTTTTTCAACAAAACAGATTCAATATAGATTCAGTATACTGAGAAATTTCAAAACATTAGAAGGTATTTTTTATGTTTTGTTGTTTTGTTGTCAAAAAGGACGATCTCTGCTTAGCTTCATCCAAAGAATAAATTATGTTTGATTATTATAATTTCACTTTCGTTCGCATTTACTTCGATGATAACGCTTTTGTTTTGCTGTAAAACTTAAATAATAATTTGAGAAGCCTAATGTGTCTGTTTTTATATCATGATTCAGAAAATATGCACTGAGAACAATGATTATGAACCACCATATATATGGGGCAAAATAGAATCAACCTTTAATTGAATTAACCTTTAAATGGAAACAGTTAATAGCTTTACATACTGAATAAATTTTTAGTTTAAACAGAGCACTTACAGAGTCGCCTTGCAGCTCCATTCTTTAGTTTAGGTTATGAACAATCATTGACTTTGATTTAAAATAGCTATCGGAAAAAGTATTAAAAGGTTTTATATAAAGTTGTATTTCTTATATTAGACACCATTCTTTATTTTAGATTAAGAGCAATTATTGACTTTGATTTAAAAGAATAATTATCGGAAAGACTTTAAATTCTTTTTTAGATGAAGTCGTATTTCTTATATTAGACACCATTACTTTATTTTAGATTTAATGCAATTATTGATTTTTATTTAAAAGAATAGTGAATAGTTATCAGAAAAACTATTGAAAGTCCTTAAAGTTGTATTTCTTATGTTAGACACCATTCCTTATTTTAGATTAAGAGCAATTATTGTCTTTGATTTAAAAGAATAGTTGTCGGAAAAGCCCTTAAAAGTTTCTAAAGTTGAATTTCTTTCATTCGGCACCATTCTTTAATTTAGGTTAAAAGCAATTATTGATTTTGATTTAAAAAATAGTTATCAGAAGACTATTAAAAGTATTTTTTCAAATTTGTATTTGTTACATTAGACATCATTTGTTATTTCAGGTTAAGAATAATTATTGAATTTGATTTAAAAGAATAGTTAACGGAAAGAATTTTAAAAGATTTCTTATAAAGTTGTGATTCTTATATTAGATACCATTCTTTATTTTAGGTTAAGATCAATTATTGACTTTGATTTGAAAGAATAGTTCTCTGAAGACTATTAAAAGCATGAAGAATCTTTTAACAAAGATCTAAAACGATATAATCTATTGTTTTCCTTTGTTCTTCATTCCATTTACATAGAATTATATCAAGAATTCTCTGGTAAAAGAAGTGTTTTTTTAATCCTCTTCTGGTACATAACTGCAGTATTTATGCTTGTAATAAAATGTTTGGCTTAACTAAGATGCACTTTCATCCTTTATGTTAATAGTGATCTAGTATCTTTTCTTACGGCAAATGATTTTTTGCTTAGTAGCAAATTTAACAAAAAGGGAGAATTTATGAAAAATTAAAACCATCATCAAACTTGATATTTTGTGCAAGTAAACAATGAAAAGTTATTGTTATCTTAAATGCGTTTATTTGTAATTAATTATATTTTTAAAAATTTTATTCCTATAAAATTTTATACTATTGGTATAACACAATTTCCAACATAAAAAAATTGAAGTTATGCTGCGATAATATTCAGTATAAGTAACTTAAGCAATTATAAGTAATTAAGTATAAGTAATTTGTGTAAGTGTATGTACAAAAGCTAGCATTTTTTTTAATTAATAAAAATTTTAATAACAAAAAGAATTGTGCAAATATGAAGAACTTTTCAATTTGACACAAACAATATTTATTCTACAGATGTAAAAAAATACATAAAATAAAAATTTCTAAAAATTTTTTTGACGAAACGAACGAGTGATTCAACTTGCAGAATTTATACAGTCATACAAAAATCAATCACTGACCTCAAACTAGATTAATAAAAGGAGACAATTAAAAATGGTAAAAGAATATCTTTCTAAAATAATAATTTTTGTTACGCAACACTTTTTAAAATTTTAATTCAAAATTCCCATTAATTTGGTTCAACAAGGAAATTTATTAAAATAGATATGTATGTTCAATAAATTTTTTTTTAATATTTTTAATTGAATTTTAGTAAGTAAGTTTGAAAAAAAGTAATCGTTGCAATTACAATTTGATGAAATTTCAAGACACTTCTTATTATAAAGTTTTGAAATTCAAATTACGTCATTTGCAACACTAAAAGCTACCTATTGCTATTGAGTTTTGGATTTCAAAAAAAAAACCTTTAGGCATAATGATATAGTATAAAACTCTTTAAACCTTATGCATGATTCAAAATTCTTTGATTAATATTAAAATACGTTTAGCAAAAACAAAAACTTTGTTGGTGACATTGGTTTCGTATTTGCTGGCAACGAGTTTTAACTTGCATTATTAGTTCCGAAGATGTGACTAAAAATTCATAACATATAAACTACGTTATGCGAATCAATCTTGCGGAAATATTTTTGTTAAGCCATTAATTTCATAGCTAGAAAATGTTGGTATATCTTGCTGATTTGAATCAATTGTGTCAATTGCGCTGGGGAAAAAATGTTTGCTTACACAGTAAGAAATATGTTTTTGTGCCTGCTTCAATTGAAAAAAATTATGCCTAATTAAGTTTGTAAGTGAAAACGATTATATTAAAAATTTCCCTGAGTAACGTCGTCAGATCTGGGAAGTGAAATGAACTAATTTGAAATATCATTGGTTAAGAGATGAGATATGAAAAGGCATTGTTAGCTGCTAAGCAACATATAATGTAACATCTGTTTGATTCTTTTGAAAAACATAAGTTTTAATTTGATGATTAAAAATCTGGCTGGCAATGGGATACCTGCAAGTGAATGTAGTGTGGGTATATCGATCCTGATTGGTTGTTGAAACGTGGCATTTGCTTATCTTTGCAACTGTTCTTTACATTCTATTTCGAATGAGCCAAGCCCATCAAATATCAATTGTCTTAAGTGACACATTCTATATTCTTACACAAAGATTCCTCCTTAAAGATTTCAGTTCTTTCACATTATATTTCTTACTTAACATAAAGACAGGCATGAAGTCGAGTAAAAAATAAACAAACTAAATAAGCAATGAAGTTGTCAGGTACACAAAATAAAAATATATCACTGTTACAATAAAATACATAAACAAATAATAAATCTAAGTTAAGTAAAAGACGTAGACGAGAAAGAATTAAATTTCAACAAATTCGATGAGCGATACGAATAATAAATCTATTTATTATTTGGTTATGTATAAAATACATAAACAAATAATAAATCTAAGTTAAGTAAAAGACGTAGACGAGAAAGAATTAAATTTCAACAAATTCGATGAGCGATACGGCACTGCATTTAATCAACTTCTTGTTTATTAACATTCTGGCTAATGTAGAGAAACTTAGCTCAATTCAACACGCCAGTTGGCTTATAAGTGATCAGCTGGAGCTGCCGTCATAGGTCACATGTGTGGGTATTGTGATCTTCTTCTTCTTGAAGTGTAAGCACCCAATTTTAAAGATTTGGAATTAAAATTAAATAAAATTTTCTTCTTCTTTCAAATCCCCATTTCTAGCCTAGCTAGACAAGGTCCATGAGATTGTTCACCTTCAAAAAGTCTAAAACGAGTAAGAGTCTTTCAATTAGGTCTTGTTTTAAAAGACCGAGACAGTCCAGTAGATGTTCAGGGGATGCCTGGGCCGAAGAGCACTTGGTACAGAGGGCAAAGCACTTTTCTCCTCCAGAGTATCTCAGTGATTTCAGGTGTCCACAGCGGAGACGTGTGATGGCGGTTTGAGACTGACGGTCTTTGTCAGCTGTCAAACAGCTACCCGGTCTGGTACCCTGGTACCAATTGTGTCTGGATGGATTGAGCCATGCTGATTGATTTTTGACTTTAGCAATGGAGAAGAGCTCTGAGGATGTAAGAGACGCTGGAGGCGCAGTGGCCTCAGCTGCACCTGCCTTGACAAGACTATCTGCCATTTCATTGCCTGATATATCTACGTGTGAGGGTATCCAATGCACATGAATTCGACAATATTTGGAGAGGTGTAAAAGTTTACAAAGGATGTTCGTGCTAGTATTGTCCCTCACTCTGTGCCAGCTTGCCAAGTGCTGAACCGCGCTTCTACTGTCGGTAAGGATCCAAATCTCTTTCGGGATTGAAAGAGATAGTATTGAGGCAAGTCCATCATCGATGGCGATAAGCTCGCTCCTAAAAACGGAACAGTGGTCGGGATTCCTTTTCTGGATCTTGATTTCGCTCATCTGAGTTTTGATGAAGATCCCACTCCCGGTGTGATTGTCTTCGTCCTTACTTCCATCCGTATATATTTGAACAGCCTCCGTTAGGATAGTGTAGATTCTCTCAAGTGCTACTTGTCTAAGAACTTCAGAGTGATCATTTTGGTTGTTGACAGCCACCGGGAGATCGGTGTGGAAAGACACCTCCGAAAGACCTTCCGCAGGGTCTGTGCTCTGCTTGAGGAAGTGCTGTTCCACGTTTCCAAAAGTTATGTTGGACGAAAATACTTGGCTGAAAGGGCTGTTTCGCTTGAGCCTTTGGCTATGTTGCCACTTCGTTAGTAAATCCGAAGTCCTGTTTTGTGATCCAAAACTATAGAGTTTGCTGTAATATTCTACCATGCATGCCCTTCTTCGGAAGCTCAAAGGTTGCAAGTCAGATAAATAGGTCAAATAAAATTTTGATTTTATTCAGTGCTCTCTCGCATTGTTTAATTCTTTATATAAAAGTCGTTACACCAGCATTACTATTAGACGTTATTAGTGCTACCTTACCAATCATATTTTTGATCTAAGTGTGTTAAAATGAACTGCAATTAACCTCGAAATAAAATGCTATTCGTTTGCGAAAGCAAAATTTTCCATTACAGTACGTTCCTACTAAAGGAAATGATATTACACTGTAATGTACACTATCTGAAGTCATAAGGCACGTGTAAACGCGTATGCACATCAAAGTAAACACAAAGCAACTCATCATCTTTTTTCTCATTTCATCCTTATTTTGATCAAATCAAAGTAAACATTGCGTATGCACAAAAGTTCTCGGATAGGAAAATATACGATTAAATAGTGGGCTGCGCCCCCTGCACACTAACGCTCGCCCACCCCCCAAAAATTGCTACGCATTCTTATATGGTTTGCTTAGCAAAAAAATGCTCGCTTCGCTCGCTACTAACTTGGGCACATTGCAAATGCATAAAATTCTAAGAATTCAAAACAGTCATTCAAATCCATATAACAACTTTTTTTAAAAAAAAAATTACATCTTTTTAGTAAATACTAAGTCATTAAAATAAATTTGAATTCAAATAAATGACATGTAATTCGTTAAACCTATTAGAAATGTGCTACAGCATAAAATCTCAAGATAAAATTTCTAAAACTGATATCTCTTTAAAAAGATTAAAATTTTGGCTATAATTAAGTTTATTAAAAATTGAAATATGTGAATTGCAATGGAAAAACCTGCATAAACAAATAAATTCTAGTAAAACAAATAAATTCGTGATATAAATCAAAAATCGTCAAATAAATTCGTGATATATAAATTCGTGAAAAAAAGCGCTTTCGACCAAATACTAAAATAGAGATCTATCGTCAAAGACTACTCACTTCTGCCTAGCTTATGCTCTCTCTGGTTATTTCAGTTTCCATTTTTAAAAGCGCTATATGTTGAGTCATCTCAGCTAGATTTGGCATGTGACATTTTTAGCGCAATCATTGGTCGATTTTCCAGCGTTGCCATTCGGGGAGTTGTAATGAGGCTTTTTTTGTCGCCGTGTAAGAGAAACATATATAAAGAGATATGCGCATTAAATATCAGAACCAACTCAATGTTTCGCACGATCTGCCTTTCCCCAAATGTTTTTCATAGTTTTTGTTATATTGGTATCAGAACAAATAAATGTGTTCTTGAACTCGTAAATTCAGTTTTTTCAGAAATCAGTTATGTTCTGATTCAGTTTTGATTGAAGACTGCTCCCGGCCGCTAAAACTAAATCATATGAATTTTTTTTTTTTTTTGGAATGTGGAGGTATTCGCCAGATATATTGGTCAGCCAAATCTCAAGGCATGAAACCGATAGTTATTATTTGGGATTGACCTGACAGACATGTTTCTGTTTTGAGTCATGGTCGTTACATAAGCTGCGGCCAATGCATTGCTCCCATAAAAATATGATGTACTGTTTTCTCGAATAAGAAACTATGCTGCCAAGTGGGCTATTTATTTATTTATTTGTTATAAGTTATGCTTGTCTTTAAATTTATGCCGCAAGTTTTTATGTTGCATTAATAAAAAAACTATTTAATGTTCATCTCTCCCATATTTCTTACTTCAATGCTCATTCATTTTCAAATCAAACACAGAAAACATGTATTAATTTCAGTAAAAACAAGAAGAAAGAAAAATCAACCCAACTTAGACGTGTTTCAGGCCATTATAAAACATTGTTTTTATTAAAGGTGGATTTATTACCGAAGATATATAGATTTATAACATTCAATTGATTTTTAACATGTTTCTAAGATTAAAAAGAATAATCATATTGAAATTAATTTAATTCTTAATTAAAAAGAAATTATAAATTGTCGACAGTGAAGATGTAAGGTAACTATCAAATAATTATTTGAGCAGATTCATTTATTTATTTGCATATTAAACACTACAATATCGTAATTTTGATCAAAAATGGAATACCAAAATCATATTATTGCACATCACTTCCCTTTACCAAAAAAGTTGCCAAACTTGCCATTATTTAACTTACCTTTTCACCCAAAGCTAAAAAGTTCATATTTTATAGCTCAATATTTTTTTATTGAAACACTCTGTATATTGAATCAGCAAATATAATCATAAATACGAAAAGCAAATAACATTATCATTTTTTTTTAAAAGAAATTTTGGGCAGGAAATTAAGATTCATTACTAAATATCATTTATTGTAGATAGAATCCAATTTATTTGTAACAAACTATATTAACTTACGATTCTCCAGTTTTAAGCATCTCATAAGCTATCTTTTGCTAATTTTGAAAATCATTCGAATTACAAAATCACGTGATTTGTGATGAAACTCTCAAATATATGACCAAAATAACTTTTTATTTTAATTGGGTATAATATGAAAAAAGCACAACTACTTCCACTTACTAGGAATAACATTTACCTTTTAGTTTAATTAATAAACTGAGTTTTAAATATGTTTACTAAATTCATAAACTTCGGTAAAACAACAATATAAATTATTTCCAAAGGAACTAGACTAATACAATTCCAACCTGGCGAGTAGCGACTTATAAACAAGACACTTCGTTTGATGCTTTTACTTGTTGCTAGAAATCAGGTTCGCAGAAAATGCTGTTTACTAGTTAAATTTAGTAGGAATAACACGATCTGTGACGTAGGCTATAGTATACCCAATTACTATTAAAAAATTAATTCAGCATCATTGTTGTCAATAATAGTTTGGCGGTTTTTTATGTTTCCTTTAAATGAAATCGCAAAATTAATTCATTAATTTTGCCTTTCAGTGCATTTCTCATTTTTTTGTTTCATTTAGTACCTATTAAAAAATTAATTCAGCATTAATGGCTTTAATAATGGTTTAATGATTCTTTACGAAGTAGACGAAATTGTAATGGACGAAATAGTAATAGTTCCAAATAAAATAGTAATATTTCTTTATTAATTTTGCTTTTTAGTACAAAACTTATTTTTTATTTTAATTAATACCTATTACTAAATCTAATTAATTATCATCATTGTAAATAATAGTAGAACGATCATTTAAGTCTCCCGTAAACGACTAAGTACTATTATTTCCCTTAGTTTTAATATATTTAATACACGGTCTATTTTTTTTAATTATTACCTGATACCAAAATTAATAAAATATCATAGGCCTCATGAATTGTTTGGCGGTTTTTACGTTTCTCCAAAGGAATTAATACTATTTCGCCGTCTGTTTCGCTCTTTGGTATATTAACTTATTTTTTACCACGTTTATATTAACTTGCCTTCGTGTATGTCTGTCCGGGTGGAATTTTGTGATCAATTTTAAACTAACTTCCCGACTAGCCACAAACTTCAAATTTGGTACATAGTTCAGAATTGGATGACAATGTATGAAAATGAAGAGAAAAAAGACATACAAAGTAAAATAAAATTAAAATTTAAAAAAAAAATTTTTTTGCGATTGTCTTCTGTTGTCGATTCCATTATTTCAAATTAGTATTGCATGTTGGGTGAAGAGATTTTTACTGTCGGAGTATTTTTATTGGCTGAAAAATCACGTGGTAGAATCCAGTTTTTCTTCATTCATTTCCAGATTGTTTTGGTTGTCATCAGCATAAAACTAATGAAAGTCGTAAAGATATTGTTTTTCTATAAAGATTTTTGTATCCTTAATTTAAAATTAAAGTTCTATTATTTTAGTAGTGGTCTTGACAAAGAAATAAATTTTCTTCGATGGTGAAGGAGACAGCTACTCAAACTCAAGAATTTCATGCTCCCCACGTTTTTCGTTTTAAATCTTACAAGCAAGATTTGAAGAGCTTTGCAGCAATGTTAGTTTCTTCGGGACTAATTTGCCGAATTGCTTTGTCTACACCTTTGTTTACATTTGCTGGTCCAGTCTTTGAAGTATACCTTGTGACATAATGTACAATAGCTTCATTTCATTCGCAAAATTATATGTCTATATTGGCATTCCAGAACTCAAGAATTTTCTGATTACAATTATAGACCTATTTTTCAAAGCTATTCAAAGTTCAGATTCGCCAATTTTTAATGACAATCTCTAAGATAGGAATATGTATAAAGTTGAAAAACATTATTTTATATTTTTTAGTCCTTTTTTCAAATTATAATGTTTTTAAATTTTTCATTTAATATTTTAAATTTTTTTAAATTATAATTTTTATATTTTTATTTTTCACTTATTTACAAAAAACGTGGCTTTTAAAAATATATTTTTTTATTTAGATTATTTTAAATTCAATTTCCGTTGATCAGTTACATGGAAATGCGCTATAAGACACCGTAACTACAAACAAAATAAACATGTGGTTTCGGCTAACTTAAATACTTATTATGGTGACGTCGTCGGGCTATGCTACCACGCTCAAATTGATCATAGTCCATCTGACATTACGAAAAAATTATTAAAGAGCATGCAATACTTCTTCCTTTTTTAATCAAATAGTGTATTAAGTTAGCAAACATCTGTGATGTTATGTCAAAAATATGTGAAAAAATTGAATAGTCTATAATTTAATTTAAAACAAGAGCTAACGCTTAACCAATGAGAAAATTCTTTTTTTTTCTAACGGCTCTACCGAACGATCTAGTTTATGATTTCACTTTAATTTGAGGATCGGTGGCTAAAATTTTGCCGATGTCTAAATCATAGTGCAAGCAATTTTGGAGTTATAATAAATAAATACACGCACAGATAAACGTTTTTTAAGAAAAAAATAAAACCTATCAAATATATATTTTTCTTGTGATATTGATTTTTATTACACTACAAAATTGTGAAACAACATCACTGACAACAACAATTTTAAAACAAGTTGTTTATTATGCGTGCTATAATCACATCAAACATGTTTGTATATTATGTTTCAAAAAACAATTGCGCTTGAAAAATATCAATGTATTTTGAAATTAAAATGAATTGTTTTACAAAACATCGAAATAAAAAGGAGTGAGTCAATTTCAAAAATCTCTTCTTGTTGATTCCTCTTCTACGAGTAAGAATTCCTCAACTTGAAACACACTACCTAAGCTTTCAAGTCAAAATCAATAATTGCTCTTAACCTGAAAAATATTTAAAAGTAACAAAATATATGTTTGGATTAAGGAAGATTCTGGAACAAAATGAAATCATAAAACATCGGAATTAACACGGTACTACACATTAAGTCACTCAACATTAGAAAACATTTGCTTTGTAGTCGATAAATGGAAATTTTTTTAGTTTTTTATAAAGATAATATTGATAGAAAATTATTTTCTTAGGCATTTATACTTTGAAAATTATTCCAAATTTTTAAATAACTAGTCAATTAAAAAGTACAATTTAAGAAAAAATTATCTAATCTTTTTTTTTCAATGAGCTGCACAATCGGTCTTGCCGATGAGCAGACTTAGTGCGTTCTCCAGAGGTGGTATCCACTCTTTCAGGACCACCACAATGGGTGAGATACCGTTGGTAATGTTAATTTGGATATCTAGCTTCTGCCACACTAGATGGCAGCACCGAGACTCTTTTTGGATCCTAATTATCTAATCTTTGCATATTTGATAAAAGTTCATCGTGTTGTATCATAGTACTTCCAAACATAATTTAAAATATACCAAAATTATTTTAATCGTTCCCAAACTGACCAATGTTCGCAGTTTTACTTACATGTTAAAACGTAATTATTTATGATGTGATTGTGATAATAATTTCGTTCCCATTTCCTAATGTAGTTATGTTAATGATTTGATTACAAAATGAATAAAACTGATACCAATAATAAAATTGAATAAAAGATAAAATTTATCCATAAAAATTCTCCAATTTCATAAGTTTAATTCTTTTAAAGTGAAACACTTGGGAAAAAAAGCATAAATAGAGAACTGTATCAGCACAGTAAAAAATTCGCCTAAAATTACGGTAAAAAGTCTCGGAACTCAGGGTGAAGGTACCTTTTACTGTAAAATCCGTTTTTACTGAAACATGTTACGGAGCAAAAAAATCTGACATATCGTAATTTTAGCAGCAATAATTACCGTAAAATCACTGAATCACTCTAATTAAATAAATGTTAGTGTAAAAATGAATAAAATGGTAAAAATGGATATTATGGTAAAATGGATTTTACGGATGATGTGCTGGTACTTTATACCGTTATTTGATAAGGAATTTTTCACATTATGTATATTGTTCCAAGAAAATATCGATGGAACGTGAAAGGAATAAAATGAAATTTGTCTCCTTGACAAAAGTTTCTTATGAATTGACAAAAGTTTCTTATGAAGCAATTTTTTTTAAATTTGGGATGTTTAGATTATGTTTCTTCCGCCAACTCTTCCGAAAATGTAAGGTGTTTTTTAGATTTATTTGAAGTTAACTTTTAAAATAAACCTTAGAAAATCAACAATCAACCTCATGAAGTTAGCGTGAATAAAATAACTTCATATCAATCAAGGTGCTTAAAGTTGTTTTATTTACACTTACCATTGAAGGTTGACAGAAATCTAATTTAGAGCAACCAGCTTATAGAGGTTATTTTTGAAAGTACATGCTTAAATTTTGGAAAAACAAATTACATAATAATAAAAGAATACAATTGCATGGTTATAATAATAGGGTCATGAATGTTTCGTGCTTGTGATAAAAATTTAACACTGAATAAACTTCAATGCTATAAAAAGCATTAATTCATGCAGAATAGCTGAAACATATTGTAACTTACGATTCACCAGTCTTCATTAAGTCAAAGCCTTCATTGATTTGGTGGAGAGGCAAACGATGAGAAATCAACTTTTCTAACTGTATTTTTCCGTCTAATACTTTTTCAACGAGGTAAGGGACGTCTCTAACAGCAGTGTAAGCTGAAAATAGACCATTGTTACAGCTTTTGTTGAAAATTATGTATAGTCTGTAGATCACGAGGGAGACCCCGGAAGCGTTTTTCCTACTCGGTGGCTTTTAACGACTCGCTCTTCTGTTTGGCATTTTTTAAGTAAAAAAATTTTGATTCATGACTATTTTTTTAGTTTAGGCAACACATTTTAAAAGAAATGAAAGCTTGCATTTTAATTGGATATACATAGTTAATCTTCAAAGAAGAGAGCAAGTCGTTAAAAGTCTCTGGATAGTAAATTAGTCCCCCGGACATAACTGAAAGCGACCCTAAAGAGTTCATTTTGAGATTTTGAGACATTACACTGTAAAAACTGTGACGTAATATCTCTCCAAATATAATGTTGAACTACCGAAAAAATAGCATGAAGGAATACTTTATTCCAGGTTAACACCAAATCGAAGGTATATATACGATTTAAAGGACGTAATTTTAAACCAAACGTTTAAAATTTAATAGTCTTACACCAAATTCTTAATAAATATACGAGATATATTTTCACTTCCGAAAATACCTTGGTTGGCACTTGGCGAGAAACGCTAAGTAAGACATAAAGCTGATATTCACTGACAGAAGCTAAAATTTGTCGCTTAATATGTATGTTTTTAACTGTGCAATAAGGATAATTATATTTTAAATTTCTGAGAACTGTATTAACTCATTTTATAATGCATACCTTCTATCCGCTTCTATTATGATAAGCCTAGTTCGAATTTGTCTTAAGATTCTCTCTGTACTACGGGGATGTTTGATTAACAAACTATTTTTTTTTACGAATTACTGTATATATGTATTCTAAATTAATAATTCTTACTTTATATGGTATTGCAAAAATAACTTTGCTAAATTTTATATGTATCTTATCTTACTGTTAATTAAAAATTGTTCCAGACTTAGGCTTAAGAGATGAGAACCATTCCTTATACGAACACATATGTGATGTTGTTCCCGAATCGATGATGAACTTGTCACAAATGACATCTCCAATGACAAAAAAAAAAATGCTGCGGATGAGCTGGTTTCATTCTGCTTAAAAATTTGCAGTCTCTCTTCATATGACCTGTTTTGCCACAATTAAAACAGGTAATATTTTTACGACAATATTTGGCTGTGTGTCCTTTACGCTTGCAAAATGGACAAAATAAGTCACCACGTTTATTTGAATTTTCAGATGATTTCAGGGAAAAAGTCACTTTTTCCGAAAGAAACTTTTCCTTTTTACTTTTATTTTCCCCTTTGAAATCAAACAACAAAGCCTCAGCGTCTATCAGTCTTTGAGAGACAAATTCCAAGGAGAGACTTTCATTCGGTTGATTCTATAAAACAACTTTAACATTTTCATACTCTTGTGGCAGGGACATCAAAAGGAAAACAACTGTGTCTAAATTGCTCACCTCAGCACCGGAGATTCGCAGATCATTCACGAGCTTTTTGACATCTTCAATGTGTTGTCTCATAGAAACATCTCGACTCTTCCACATCGTAGTCAGGCGCTTCCGGGTGAGTATTTGAAAGACTGCACCCTTCGCCTCATAAATTGAGTGGAGCTTTTTCCATGCAGCTGCAGCTGACTTCTCACTAGGAAGGGAGGCAAAGACTTGATCATTCAACAAGGAAATCAGCATGTCATATGCTTTCTTTGATTTTACGACCTCAGTCTCTTTGGTTGGTTCGGGTTCTTTTTCTAAAAGTATTTCTAATTCTTTCGCAGAAAATATGGCTTCTACGCGTCTTTGCCACATCGAAAATTAGTACCATCAAAGGGAACAACACCGAACTGCTCTTTGTGCAGTTGGTTTGTCATTGCTCAAATAAACAAAATATAAACCCTCGAGCAATAAAAAGTTCTGATTTGCTTTTATTCAGCTGCCACTTCTTAGAGATAATCTAAACAGTGCTTTGGAACCACGCTCTGCTGTTGATGTAATGAAATTCAGAGATCAGTGGATCGAAACCACGCTCTGCTGTTGATGTAATGAAATTCAGAGATCAGTGGATCGGAGAAAGACATGTTTATTAGAACATTACACAGAGAGTTACACAGTTGAAACGTACACTGGAACAGGAGATATAAAAGAACATCGGATAAACAGAGTTACTAGTATTTATAGCCTTCTTGGGCTCAAAAGCTAACGGCGAATCAGAACAGTCTGATAACATGCGGACGTAGAAAAAAACTACTTCGAACAAGTGCGATTACAGTTTTTCCTCAACAAAAAATATTATTTTTTTGAAATGTACAGATATTTGCTTTTAAGTTTAATGCATAATTGATTAATACATATTGATTACGGCGTTATTTTTTCATCTCGTGCGAAGAATGGGTATTCAGTTAATATTCAATGGGAAACGATAAAACACCATACATTAAAAGAAAACTATGTATTAAGCATGCACTAATAAAAGTTATGGCTTTAAATCACTAAAGTAAATAGATAATACTAACATCCATACATTGTCCCAAGTATTTGTCTGCCATATAACAACTCCCAAACTCCAACTCTTATTTTTGATCCTTTATCATGCAGACCGATAATAACCGTCTTTCCCCAACGAGGATGACTTGAATTAAATGCTTCTTCCTGGAAAACCAACGGTTGAAACATAAGTTATGGATCCAAAATCGGCTGCACACAAGAAAAATTGACATCTTAATATATAAGACTATTAAAAAATATGTAAGTTATGAATGACTAATTAAGTTGGTTTTTTACCACGTTTATATTAACTTGCCTCCATGTATGTCTGTCCGGGTGGAATTTTGTAATCGATTTTAAACTAACTTCCCGACTAGCTACAAACTTTAAACTTGGTACACAGTTCAGAATTGGATGACAATATATGAAAATGAAGCGAAAGAAGACATACAAAGTAAAATAAAATTAAAATTAAAAAAAAATTATTATTTTCGAGATCCTGTTTTGTTGTCGATTTGATTATTTCAAATTAGTGTCACATGTCAGGTGATAAGTTTTTTATTGTTGTCGGGGTATTTTTATTGGCCGAAAAATCACGTGGTGGGATCTAGTTTTTTCTCATTCATTTCCAGATTGTTTTGGTTGTCATCAGCATAAAACAAATAAAAGTCGTAAAGGTATTGTTTTTCTATAAAGATTTTTGTATCCCCAATTTTAAGTTAAAGTTCTATTATTTTAGTAGTGGTCTTGTAGTAGTCTTGACAAAGAAATAAATTTTCCACGATGGCAAAAGAGACAGCCACTCAACGCAAGCGACGACTGGAGAAAATAAAACAAAAGCGGTTAGAGACGCTTCAACAAGAATCAGAAGCAGATACGTTTGCAAGATTAACTAAACGGCGTAAACAAGCGGCAGAGGTTCCGAAAAATCAGCGTGTTGTCGGACGGAATAAAGATAAACAACGAATGGATCAAGTGAGATTAAACGAGAATGCAGATACACGTTCTTCTCGACTTAACAATGACGCACGAAGACATGAAACAAGAGTGTAAAATACTATGTGCTTATGCGCATCGTATTTTTTGTTATATAATTTATTTATCAGTAATAATTTATCAGTTTGTATGGCAACGAGAAGAGTTTTGTGGTTGCTATGGGGATAATTTTAGAATGTAAATAGTTTTCAGAGAGTTTAAGATTTGTCTTTTGAATTTTCGGCGATGCTGTAATTTTGTAAATAAATCTTTTGGGTAGACTATACTTGAGGGTGCCCCCACCAAGCTGTGATCGCGATTGATCGCCAAGCTAGGCGATGTTGAAAAACAATCGTGATTCTGATTGGTTAAGATTTTAATCGTGATTCTGATTAGTTTAGAATTTAGCGTTGTTTTTAAATGAATTTTTAAATGTAATTTCAAAGATCCGTTAGTTCTACTTTGGATACCGGCTGGTAAGGTTATTTTTGCTTCTGGTACTAAAAATGAATACTGTCAATAAGATAAATCCTAAGTTTCTGTACGATTTCAATAACAATGAAAACAAAACAGTGATTGACTGGTGTATGAATGAAGGTTTAATTAGTAATAGATATAAATGTTCTGTTTGTGGGTTACCACGGCGTTACGGGCAAACAAGTATGGTGCCAAACATAAGTCGCCAATTTCGCCAAGGGGCACGCTCAAGTATATTTTTCCCAATCTTTTTTTTATACTAAACGTAGTAGTAGAGGTTTCTTAATTATTTGATTCGAAGTCTTTCTTTGAGGTCATCTTTTTATTTTGTGTATTTTTTGACAAAGAGCAAATGAAACAGATGATCAACATTTCTCTCGATTGAGAAATGTAATCGCTTGAGAAACTCTGACTCAAGAGCTGGAGAGTCAATTCAGGAACATGAAGAAAGACTGAAACATCGACGTGACGCTTATGCTCAACGGGTTACTGATAGGGCAGATTTCTACTCAACAATAGACACTTATTGTGACAAGTGCTGTGATATCTGCCAGAAGAAATGCTACCCTAATCAAATAGCTAAATATCGTTTTTCATCAGAAAACTCATACTTGCCACCGGAACTTGTCGCTAAAAATAATTTGCTTGTATGCTATCGATGCAATACGCACTTAAAAAGCTCAAAAAGTCATGCTCCATCTAGGGCGTATTGGAATAACCTGCTACCAGGTGATATTTCTGGTGAAATTGCTGCACCGGCTGAACCAGAACGACATTTACATCCCACATCATTCTGTACATCAAAGCTATTAAATTTCCAGGCAGATTTGGCCAATACGGTTTTGAAGGACATGCCACATTATTTGCTTTCGATTTCTTTGAAGTTAGTGAAAAACTGCCTGAAATGCTTTCTTGATTGAGCTCAGATATAGGAATTATTGTAGTGACTGAAACTCTGCACTACTTAAATGTAACACATCACCGGATGGAGTCTAAAATGATTATTTGGCTTTTATTTCGACGTGATCAGGTCTACGATACCGATATTCTAGCTATTCGTGTCGACTTTGGCAGAGATGGAATTCATTTAATCAAGCCAAAGCCACACACCAGCCCTCAGAAATTATGGAACAATCGAGCGAACACAACTCCCACTAATACTGTGCTGGGTCTGCAGAGTCTATAAAATGCAAGGGTGTACGGTGGACATTGCTGTCGTATATCTTGAATCTGAACTATTTGCTAAAGGACAGACATATGTCGCGTTAAGCCGTGTTCGATCCTTGAACGGATTAAGAATAGTGGACCTCGATTGCTCAAAACTTACGGGCAAGACACCATGGAATGAAGGAAATGATAAGAATGCGACAACTGAGACCTTCAGAAGCATAAATGATTTATATATTTCATTTCAAATTGATAAAAATATGATCTGAAAAAGATATTTTAAATATAATAAAAATAAATTTAATTTGATATTTATATATATAAATCTTATGAAAATTATTTTGCTTCCTTCGTTATTCAAATTCTCATAATAAATATTTTGATATGATATTATTGTTTTCGTATAAAAACTTTGAATTTCAGATATAAGGTGAAATGAAACTGAAATAAATCTGCAATTATCTTATTATGATATTTAAGACCAATTACATAATTTTAAACGCAAAACAAAAAAGCAGAAAATAAATGATCTAAACAAAAAAAAATATTTTTAAAAACCCCGTTTTTGTAGTGAAGAATAATAATTGAAAAATTTCAAAATTATAGTTTTAAAAAAATAATTTGAAACACAAAACTAGAAAGCAGAAAATAAATAATCAAAATAAAAAATAATATTTTTAAAAACCACGTTTTTGTAGTGAAGAATAATAATTAAAAAATAAAAATTTGAGAAATGAAAAACGTGGGGAGCATGAAATACATAACAGTACATATATACATACCTATACGCATTTTCTTACTCATACACATGCACAGCCACATACACATACACTTATACATCCACATATACATGCATATGCACAAACATGTTTCACATGCACATCCACATTCAGATACAATCAGAATTACAGATATACATACACATATTCTTATGAACACACGAACACACACTAATATAACATTACAGTTATGTATTTCCTGCTCCCCACGTTTTTCGTTTTTCAAATTTTTATTTTTCAATTATTTTTCTCCACTACAAAAACGTGGTTTTTAAAAATATTATTTTTTATTTTGATTATTTATTAGTATTTGATCCCAAAAATGGTAAACACGAAACTTAAAGTCTCACATAAGGCTATGAAATGATTTACTACAACCTCTTCACTACTGAAGTAGAAAGGAGTAGCAAAAAAAAATTTTTTTACAGTTCTGGATTTTGATTTTACTGCAATAAGTCATAATAAGATTTACAAAATCTATAATATATTGTCACGAGGATAGTAATTTTAGGTACACATACGTGGACTTCAGCTCTTAACTAAGTAAAATAATATAAACTAGGAGGCTTCGTCCCCTGCTAGCTGGTGCTCGCCAACCCCCGGAACTGCTTTCGCAGTTCATTTCGGATTGCTTCGCAATCCGATGATCGCTTTACTCGCTCATTGGATACGTTCTTAACGTCTAGCTTTTGTATACTTATTTGAACACTGAAGTTCCGAAAACTTTTCACTGTAGAAAATTCTAAAAATGTGCATTTCAATATTAATTTGAAATTGCCAACAGTTCACATATTTTTCTTAATCACACTATTCTAAATTTCAGTTGTTGAGAAAAGTAACTGTTGTAAGTTTTGTTTTAAAGTCTTTCCCACCAGAGGGCTAAAACCATGTGTTGTAAAACAATATGAAATAGTACTGAACGCCGGATGTAAAGCATCGGCTTCGATGAAGATAATTTTGTGAGAATTTTTTTGATAATTCGGTGAGAATTCACCCGATTAGACATATGATGCTCACTACGTGCTCTTGCGCGCCGAAGCCTATCAATTAAAAATGAAAACTGTTGCCAACGCGAGAAAAGAAATATCATCGGTTTTATTGATACATACGTATTAGCGTTTTATATAATATAGATTAGCCATATGATGCTCACTACGTGCTCTTGCGCGCCGAAGCCTATCAATTAAAACGTATTAGCGTTTTATATAATATAGATTAGCCATATGATGCTCACTACGTGCTCTTGCGCGCCGAAGCCTATCAATTAAAAATGAAAACTGTTGCCAACGCGAGAAAAGAAATATCATCGGTTTTATTGATACATACGTATTAGCGTTTTATATAATATAGATTAGCCATATGATGCTCACTACGTGCTCTTGCGCGCCGAAGCCTATCAATTAAAAATGAAAACTGTTGCCAACGCGAGAAAAGAAATATCATCGGTTTTATTGATACATACGTATTAGCGTTTTATATAATATAGATTAGCCATATGATGCTCACTACGTGCTCTTGCGCGCCGAAGCCTATCAATTAAAAATGAAAACTGTTGCCAACGCGAGAAAAGAAATATCATCGGTTTTATTGATACATACGTATTAGCGTTTTATATAATATAGATTAGCCATATGATGCTCACTACGTGCTCTTGCGCGCCGAAGCCTATCAATTAAAAATGAAAACTGTTGCCAACGCGAGAAAAGAAATATCATCGGTTTTATTGATACATACGTATTAGCGTTTTATATAATATAGATTAGCCATATGATGCTCACTACGTGCTCTTGCGCGCCGAAGCCTATCAATTAAAACGTATTAGCGTTTTATATAACATGGATTAGCCATATGATGCTCACTACGTGCTCTTGCGCGCCGAATCCAATCAATTAAAAATGAAAACTGTCGAGAAAAGAAATATCATCGGTTTTATTGATACATACATACATACGTACGTATTAGAGTTTTATATAATATAGATAGATATTTCGAATGTTAAAATGTACCTAAAGTTGGACAAGCATGCAAACTGTTATATTATGGTCCATTTAAATACAGTGATGAATGGATTTAATAATTATTTAGAAAAATAAATAAATTTTGAAAATAAACTAAAGTTAATTATAAAAAAAATATTTAATACTTGGGGTAAAATTTCAAAAAGTGGAGAAAAAATAAACAGTTAAAGTTATTAAGTGTATGTATGTATCTTAATATAAAACAATTAATTAATTTCATTTTTTATGTAATTAAAATACACATAAAAATATTACAAAATAGATATAAAGTTAAATACTCATAATACTTAGAGATTTCACTTGACTATATGCTGTCATAAATTTTGCTATTCGTACTTAGGTACACATACGGAGACTTGCATGCTTTGTACTGTACTATTTTTAAATATTAAATAAATATAAATTTAAAAGATTTATATAGATCACAGCACTACTAACTCAAAAGAAAAAAATATTTTTAGAATAACTCTTTTTTTACTTCCTATGAGCTGCACAATCAGTCTTCCCGATGAGCAGACCTAGTGCGTTCTCCAGAAGTGGTATCCACTCTTTCAGGACCACCACAATGTGTGAGATACCGTTGACCATGTTAATTTGGACGTCTAGTTACTGCCACACTAGATGGCAGCACCGAGACTCTATTTGAATGCTAAAGTGCACTAGGAATTTAATTTTGCCGGAAATGCCAAGTTTTTAGAATAACTAAATTATACAATATTTAAAATTACTTACGTTTTCGAGCACGTATATTGTTTCGAAAATCACTTCTGTTTAAGTGAAATTTGACCCAAATTAGTTATATGAATCTATTGGAATTCACAGAAAGTTTAAACCCTACGAAAATTTCAGTGAAAGTAAAACTGTAAATTTTCTTATAGCGTGTGTTGAGAAGCTAAGGAGCGAAGGTCCACATACAAGGACCGAGGTAATGAAGAGGTTAATAAAAAATAAGACTGTTTTCAATATAAATTAATTAGCATAATAAGACTGTTTTCAATATAAAATAATTAGCATAGTACGACTGCTTTTATTATAAATTAATAAGCATGTAAGTTTTCATAAGCATTATGACAATACATACATTATGACAGTTGCAGATACATTATGATAATACATACATACAGTATGCGAAGCAAAAAAAGGGAACACTCTAAATCTTTTCATTGAATAAGCGGATTTTTATCGGTTCAAGGGTTCAATGTTAAATTTTCTAACTAATTAATGCAGACAATGCTTTAAGTTACAAAAACAGAGACAAAAACCTACTTTCTTATAATAATTGAACAAACTGGCATTTTTGTTTCGACAAATTCCGATTCCTTGGTGTCTTCGGATATTCATCCACTTTTAGATGCACGTGGATAATTTTTTTCCGCACATGCGCTACATGCGCTGAAGAAGCAACTACTTCAATTACTCTTATCTGGCGCAGTTTTTATCATTATTTTTTTAATTTTAAAGCAATAATTTCGTTATCAGTTTAAAATTGATTCAAACGCTTTGTTTAATTTTTTAAGATTTAAGCTATAGCAAAAATGGCACTAGACCTATATATTTCGTATATATTTCGGACATTTACCAAAGGTCTAGTCATACTAGGTCTGGTTAAGTGCCACTGCTCGGTATACATTTGCCCGGTATACCCTACACTGATGTTTTTTTAAGGTCAAGTGCCGTTGCCCGGTATACATTTGCCCGGTATACCCTACACTGATGTTTTTTAAGGTCAAGTGCCACTGCCCGGTAAACATTTGCCCGGTATACCCTACATTGATGTTTTTTTAAGGTCAAGTGCCACTTCCCGATAAACATTTGCCCAGTATACCCTACACTGATGTTTTTTTAAAGTCAAGTGCCATTTCCCGGTATATATTTACCCGATGCTCCAAACACTGATGTTTGTTCTAATCTATCGTCAGTAAGTATTAAAATATCGAATAAATGTAATTATATCCACGAATAAATTAATATCAAATCAGATGTAATAAATATTTCGGACATTCACCAAAGCGACTAATTTGATTGTCAACATTCACCGGTGAAAGTCAACAACCACCGATTTCGGTCATTCACAGTAACATGCACATCATTTACAGAATAACCTCATCAGGACAATTATTTTATACTTTTCCTAAATAGCATCCTGCATTTCAAAAAATAAAAAAAATTAGTTTTGTTGGCGATGATCTCGTAAGGCGATAAGGAATCATGCATAGTACAGGTAAGGAAGATGTTAACCTCGAAGGAAAAGTGGATGAATAGCACAAGGAACCCGATTCCTTACCCTCAAATTATAGCTGCAAATTTTGAGAATGAAGAGTCCAGAATTCACCGAAAAAAGGCATGTTTGTTCTTATAAAGAACGTGTTTTTAGGTCTTATTTCATAACTTAAAATGTCGCCTAAATTAAACATGTCAACAATTTGAACTACTTTCGAGAAACATAACTTTTAAGTTTCATTTCCTTTTTTTGCTATCAGAAGTCAACAAATTTTAAATAGAATTTTGAACTTGAAATCTTCAATTTTTCTGTATGAAAGTATGAACTTGTTGTGTTTTATCAATTTTTTTCCTGTGATGTAAACTAAACTCTTACCATAGCCGAAAGATTTCCAACGGAGACGAAACAGTAGTCAACTCCATCTTTGCACATTTGAGCTAGAGTTTCAGGTACACTTTTTACTTCTTTAGGGTTCACAAAATCAGATGCACCAAATTGCTTAGCTATAATAACACAACAACAAAATACAATTGAAAGCGAAGTAAAAATCTGAAAAAAATAATTTCGAATATTTCGAATAACAAGTCATATATTGAATAACAAATCATATATTCGAATAACAAATCATATTTCATATCACAGATTCGAATACAGATTCGAAAAACTAATCAAAATTAATTTGTTTTGAGATATAAGGGAGATATTTTTCATATAAATCACAAATAGATCTTAAAGAATTTGTAACACATCTTAAAATCGAAGCAAAATATCTGAAACTAGATGTCTTATTTCGATTTTACGAATGACAGCGACGAAAAACTAGATATTTCTTTAAAATTTTATTTGTGTGTTTGCCTTCACATACTTACCACATAATCACCTTCACATCATCACAATTGTTTTCCATTATCACTTAACACTATGCCGACCGAACCAATATCGCCTAAATGCAAAGATTACCACCGCTACATCTATTACCAAACAAGTATTAAACAATAATTTTCACTTAAGTCAATAAGACCTTTGAAAATATATAAATTTCAAAATGAACAACAAATTGCGCTAGAGTGAGGTGTTTTCTTTCCCTAGAAATTTATTATTATTATTACCCTGCATATTTTGTTCGTCCCACAAAAATTAATTTTGGACCAGTATGGAAACTTAATTAGATTCCAATATGTTAACTAATCAGGTTAAGACGGGAAAATAATACCTAATTCAAATTTTTTAGGATTAGGGTCGACGCCAATAATTTTTGAGGCTCCACTGTCACGGCAACCCATAATTACACACATGCCAACTCCTCCAAGACCCCAAATGGCACATGTCGATCCTGGGGTCACTTTTCCAGCATTCATGACTGCTCCATAGCCAGTTGGAAGGCAGCAGCCTGCTAGACACAGCATATTGGGATCAGCACTAGGATTAACCTGCGAAGAGAAGTTGTTATTTCTTGCTAAGGACCAGCAAAAACTGTTGATAAAAAATTGGAAAGTTTTTTACAGCTACAGAAAAATAAATTATGATGCTGAAACTTTTAATTTATTTATATATTAGTAAAATATTTGTCGTAGAATTTTAATCTTGCAGTTTATAGAAATGACTCAAACTGTAAGTAATACTAAAAACTTATAAAAAATAAAGAACAAAAAAACGTATTACGTAAATTTTTAAATTTAATCGGTATAATAAGATCGGATTTCTCATCTACTATAATGTATATACACGATGGCGACCTTCATATATTATATTGCACGCTAGTGAGTGACGCCGAAGACTATTTCTATAATCACGATGACCAAGATCATTTTGCACTTGATTGATGTGTAACAAAATAAGTAAATAAATATTCAGGAATTTCTTAAATAAATGTTATAAATGCAAATTCTAATAAATTTAAAAAAAAGCTCTTTAACCTCTTGTTTTTATTGATGCTACTGTTTTTATCAGAAAGTTTTCTTTTATGGCTTATTTAAAAATTTTCAAAGAACAAGTTCAAGTACAATTACTTGAATAATTCAAGAGTCATTTATTTTTATTTCCCTAGAAACATTGTTGCTTGAAATTTGCATTATCAAAAATTAAATACTAAATAAATTTTAATTAAAATGAACTCACTTTTGTGACGTTATATTCAGATGTGACGGTATATTCCGAAAATAATCCTAGAGAATTTGCTTGAGTGATCATTTTTCCTTTGGTTGAGATGCGAGACGTCCCATCCATTTGAAAACCAGTTTTCTGCATAGACAAAATTTTAAAGAAGCATCAGAACCTTTGTTTACTGTTTAAGATCAGCAAATAAATAATAATGTGTAAGAAATTTAAGGAATAAAAGTATTTATATAACTAACTAATACTAATTTATTATTAAGGTTTTAGAATATTTTTTAAATTTTGTTGAACAATGCTATAGTAGAAATAATAGTTGGTTTTTGTGAAATACTGACATAATACAATGACAAAAATTATAATAAATGAAATAATAAGAAATAGAGACATTGTGCCTCAAATTCTCTAAACTAAACGTAATATATATATATATATATATATATATATATATATATATAGT